ACACAAGCTGCATGGAGATCACTGCTGCCTAGCTTCCTCTTCTGCCACAATTCGGCCAGCACCTCGGCCAGTATCTGCACCCAGGGTTGCCTGCAGGTTGGACAACTCATGCAGATCTGCTGATCCCGAGAAAACCTTGCTGAGATGTGCTCCTCAATCGTCCATAGTCGCCACTACACCACCAACTTTCATTCCATGAGTTCCAAGGCTGTTGGACAAGGCATTTCTTCCAAGAACTCACACTCTATTGCCATTCTTTTCCCTTACATTCATGCTCTTTCATCCATCCTCTGCCTGGAACAGGCCGTCCACCGTTCCCTCAACCTCTGGACCAAGGGATGCATGCACACTATAACCCAAAAAACCAAATGCGAGAAACCCCCCCCCCCCCCCCCCCCCCCCGCACACTGTTACAAGGGCCAAGGTGAGTGTGTCCTCTCTGCGGAACGGAATCAAATGAAAGATTCCTTTGCAGCCGGTACAGTTCATAGTGAAAGATTAATTCCAAAAACTCTAAAGAATATAACACTTGAAAAAAAGAGAAAGAAAATGCGGAGAATGCCGGTGGCAGTTCTTCACTCAATCTGACATCTCTTTAAATTCTGTATGATACATCTAACTATAATCTCAACTATGCTCTTACTAAATTACACCTTGGATTCCAAACATTGATTTAAATGCTAAACTCGCAAAACATGCTTCATAACTTTCAAAGAGCTGAAGGAGCCCCAGCTCCTTCTGTCCATCCGTGTAAACCTTCCTCATCGCAACATACGCATTCCGAGTCTTGTGGATGTGGCAGAACGAATCCCTCGCTCGTCCACCAGCATCTCCCTTGGCACTGAAGCCACTCCTGAACTTCCCATCGAAGTAGCTGCTCGCAAAGCTCCGCGCCTCGTGAATGCTGCGTGAACGTCTCTTGGGGACCCCGGAGAAACGCCTCCACCTCGGGATGACCCGGAAGTGTTGCCAAAGGTTGACACCAGCTGTGAGGATCCGGCTCCTGCAGCTTCGAGAGCTCGTTGATCCTCTCCTGGGCCATGTCGCACAGAGCCTTTTTCCCTGCTTCGCTCGCCCTTGCTCGATGGCCTCCATCTCTCAAACTTCTGCCACAAAGTTCTCGGACTTGTGGATCTTGAGATTGAGTACCAAGCTCTCCAGCAGTGTGGCGTTGTAACACGTCCATCACGTCGATTGCGAGCTCTGCCACCTCTGGATGATTCAAGTCCCTGGTTGTGACCACCCCGCACAGCTTCACGAGATGCGAATGGAGATAAGCATCCTGCTTCCAGCAAAAGCATTGAGCAGCGTCTTGCTCCCACAGGTTGATGAGCAGCTCACAAAGATCTCCTGTTCCGGCTCTGTGGAAAATGTAGTCGACGAAGATTGGAATTTCGTCCACCTTCAGAAGAACACGAAGGTTGACCGTAAAAGAAACTGAGAGTCTTCGCGGCGACTTCCAAGGCCCCCTCAATGGATCCAGCAGCAACGAGCTCGCGTGAAAGTGTTGCGTACCGGTCTAGCTCAGTGGAACTCCGGAGAAGCTTCAAAACGAGATCTCTCGAGACATCCCATCCCAGAAACTTGGCGGCTTGAGCAACCACCTTTGCAACCTCATCGGACTTGATCCCTTCGAAAGATATCTCGTTCACTCCCATGTAATGATTGTAAGAGCGACTTTCCAGTCCCAGCACCCCGATCACCTGATAAACTTTGGAATCACCCTTGGCCAAGCGGCAAAACCTTCTCTCCCTCAGCTTCTATTCCACCATGTCTAGTGCTTTTTCAAGTCCTGCCTGGCAAACGAGCTCGATGGTCCTGCGTTTCGGCCAAAACACCACTGCAGCACATGATCCACCCCATAATAGGACTTTGATGTTGGAGCACACACTTCGATACATAGGTGTTGCTTGAAAAGGAGGGGCGACTTGTTTCTCATTCCTTTCAATAAAATGAATTCTTGAGTGGGCAAATGAGTCCTGCCGTCTATGGTTCTTTGCAAAACTTCCAAAAAAATTTAAGTTTTACAACATCTATGGCACTTCATGCAAAACTCCATCAAGGAAATTCTCTATACTGAGGTAATACGGAGTTCTTTCTTCATGCTTACTCAAAGAAATCTTGAATTTTGCAGGTTGATTTCAAGTATGTGGACGGAGATGGCATGGTACCATCCAAGTCTTCCAAGGTAGCCCTCTGTTTCTATCACCCGGTTCTGAACTCTGCTTTCTTCATAGGATGTTGGGTTCACTGCGACTGCAAGGCATAGGGTTCCAGGTGACCATTGCAGTCTACTAAGATCAAACGAGGTGTTCTTCCTCCTCAAAGACATCCTAGAGATCAAAGATGAAGAGAAGAAGCTTGTGGTTCACACTGCCCTGCACAAGTCCGAGGAAGTGATCAAGAAACAAGCATGCTTTTGTCTCAGCAACACCACCATCTCCCACAAGAACAGTGCATGGGACACAAACTCTGAGGACAGCCAAGACTACAACAGTGGTAGCAAGAGCAAGGACAACACTGAAAACTCAGTAGTATTCACCATCAACACTGAGGATGCTAGAGCTCAAGCTCACGGTAGAGCCACACCTCACAAGCCACACAAAGGATTCAAGCTCCATCACCTTAGCATTTCTGCCACCGGTGTTGCAAAAAGAAGCAATTGAGAAAAGGCTACCATCTCAGTGGAGAAAGCTATAGCTTCCACCACTGCCAAGCTCATAACATTGTAAAATATGAAAAAATACCATTTAAATTTTGTCAAAGTGATGTTCATGTCTTCTTTCCTAAGGTTTAGGTAGTTTCTAGGTTGAGATAATATTGTTGGTTGGCTAATCCTTATGAACACTCTCCTTATTACCATGACAGCAGGAGGTAAGTATTACTGATTCCCTTTATTAGCCTTTTTTGTCTAAGTGTTTGTAAATTGAATTTAATATTTGCACTTGGCAAGGAAGGAATTTTTAAGTGTCTATTTAGCTAAATATATTTGGTTTGGTTTGTTAATTCTTTTTTGCTTTGTCTTGCACTAACTTAGCAAGAACCCTTGCATATTAAGTCTAATCTTTCAATATTGTTATATGATAACTTACCGTATTTACCAAACACCCTCATTATCATGCTCTATATGTTTGTTCCATTCTACATCTATATGACGAAACATCTCACTCTAGCATCTCATTGAAGAGGGCAATGGCTTTCTCCAGATGCCAATTTTGGGCATAGCACAAAAGCATTATGTTCTAGCAGATGATATCTTTGTGCACTAGCATAAGAAACAAATTTTTCATTTCATCAACCATTCCATGATTTGCATATGTAGTGATCATCATTGTCCATAATATAAGACTTGTAGAAAGGCATCCCATCAACCAATTGTTGTGCCTCCCGAGCTGCAACAATTGCTGCAATAGCAACATTCCAACTAACAAGATTTTTCACTGGGTTTTTCTCAAACACCCATCTAGCCTTAGCATAACCGCAAATAATGACATTGATGCTTGCTCTTAGCCAATGGGAGGTGGCCAGTTGCTTGGGCAAAAGAAGAAAGCATTGTGACATATGTAATATATAAAATGTTGATTGACATTGATATTCAACCTTTTGATGAGATATGTAGATCTTATAATTCCCTCTGAAGGATTTGATAATTTTCTATGAAAAAGATATTCTATAGTCATTTTTTCAATTCTTCTTTCAAAATAGAATATAATATATATTATTTTGATACTATTTAAATTTAATTTTTAATGTAATAAAACTATGATAATCAAAATAATGTTTGCTAATTGGGTAGCATATGCTAGACAATGACTAGTTATTTTTATAAGAATGTTTAATTTAACAAGATCTGCACTAAATCTTTTATTTATATTCAGTGCCCTAGTTCTTTCTTAAGAACAGGATACAGGAAGTGGTGGACTCCGGTGAGGAGGAGGAGGAGGCGGAAGTGATCCTGGTGGGTTGTCTCACGGTTAACGTTGTGGGTCTGCGGTACTACCACGGCACGGTGACTAACGGCGAGATGGTCCAGCTTGTCCCGAGAGCCTTGCCCGATTCAACATTCGCTTTAAGCAGCTCCAACTTATCCGCAGGAAGGCTCGTCTCGTTCACCACGATCCTCCTTGTCGCGAAAACAGTGCGCTGCGATAGCGCAAAGCTATGTCCATTGAATCAAACTCCACGTCCATCAAGTTTTTGTGCTTATGGTGCCGGTGCTTGCGGTGCTTGCGGTGCTTGCGGTGCCGTGAAGTTGAAACCTTGAAGTCTCCTGGTGATCCGAGAGCAATGGGAAAAGGGCTACGACACAAAACCCAAATGTAATTATAGTTCTTATACATTAACTTCCACGACAAAGAATTCTAGAGAACTTCTAGACGTTCGCCTCCACGTAAGATTGCTGGTCAGATCAATCCAGAGTTTCCTGCATCTAAAAACGAACTTATCCACGAACTTACCAGCCAATTGCAAATGAGATCGTATTTGCCTGCGTACACAAACAGCTTGATGCCATCTTCCAGAAGAGCTGGCGGTTTATAAACCTGCAAAGCCAGCACTAAGCAAAACCCAGCAGAGAGAAAAAGACTGAAAACGCTTCCTTGAATGGACTGCCATCAGTGCCTCCGAAGACGCAAATGCTCTTGATCTTCACCTCAGTCATGAAGCTGGAGTAGTTTAGAAATAAGAAAAGGAAAAACGATGAAGAACACAAAGGAACTTCCAGGATGAAAAGATTGAGCTTGGCTGTTTTGCCAGCACTTACATCAGAGCCGGAATTTACCCCTTCCGATACGTGCACACCTGCGCCACCTCCTGCGCTACCGAGTGATCGCTAAACGCCCATATTGACACCAATGCGCAGCTCATCGGACTGGCATTATGGTATGTTAGTATTCTTGCATAATTTAGAAAAACCGTGAACTTGAATAATAAAGTATCATCTACTAAACTACCAGCTTGAATAGTAGTTTTTACAGTGATCTTTTATTATACTCTTCTGGATAAGACATTTTAAAAGAAATAGATCTCATATTAACCTTGCTTTATTATGAGCGACCATGTTGAAGAAAAGTCCATCTAAGAAACATAACTTAAGATTCTAAACCATAATAGCATCTAGTATAACTTGCCTGTTAATTTGAGGAGGTTCTTGGGGGTATCAAACTCTGCAATGCGTCCAGCTTCCATCACTAAGACACGATCATTGTCAATAATTGTTTGGATGCGATGGGCAACTGTTAGAACGGTGCAATCCTGGAAAGAGGCTCGAATAGTTGCTTGAATGATTTGGTCTGTGTCATTGTCTACTGCTGCAGTTGCTTCGTCCATAATAAGGATTTTGGACCTGCAAAAATAAGATATGATCAGTTGAGAAGTAGAATCAATACAATCTTACTTTCTTAGCAAACTTCTTGCAAGGCAAAGAAGCTGCCTTTCTCCAACGCTAAAGTTTGTTCCAGAACTTGTAATCTGACCATCTAAGCCGTTGTCAAAGTTCTTATACGACTGTGTGCTGGAGAAATGCGCTCTTGTCAGTGCTTCATGAATTTCTCTATCATCGTTCTTTCCAAATGGATCCATGTTAAATCTTAATGTGCCAGAAAAAAGAACAGGATCCTGCTCATTGTGAACACTTCTAAGGCATTGACATTTGAATTATATTGAAAGCTTACCTGTGGGATTATTGACAATCTTTGTCTCAAATCATCCAGTCCAATGGTCTTGATGTCAATATCATCCACAAGTATTGTTCCACTACAAGCCATGTTCTCAACCATTCTGAACATAGCTGCAGCCAAGCTTGACTTTCCGGCACCAGTTCTTCCCACAATTCCTATTTTTTCTAATGGGAAGATCTGTTGGATAAAATAGTTAATTTTAAACTACACAATAATAATTATTACCTTAAATGATATGTTATTCAAAACTGCTGGAAGATCTTCCCTGTATGCTAATGTATAGTTGATAAATTCAATAGACCCCGCAGCAGGCCAATTGCTTGAAAGAATCCTTGGCTCAGATTTATTTGTGGCCTCTGTAGATAAATGACAATATTCTAGAATTCTCTCCACACTTACAAACAAGCTTTCTGCTTCAACTGTCCATTTGATTGCAATCTGGAGGACATCAGTAAGCTTTAAGGTTTGTACAAGTATAACACCTGATTATTAAACAAAGCATTAGCAGTTGTAGACCTGATATTCAAAAAAAGCTAGCAGGCTGATATTTTACCTGTGAGCCCAGAAGAAATATAATTCCTTAAAAACACAATAAGAAATGCTGCAACTGTGATAGATATTGAAGTTATAAAGTCCAATCTTGTGGAGAGCCATCTTGATGCATGAACATATAAAATATAAGCTTTATGATTGTTGTCCACCAATTTAACAAGCCGGTCATGAAACCGTTTTTGATTATTATATGCTCTGATAGAAACCGCTCCCTTTTGAATAAAACATTGTTAGTATTATTTTTAAAATAAAAAATACTCAATTTTACCTGTAGTGTTTCTGTAAAATGTGTAAATATTGGTGACTGAGAAATAGCATCCAACCTTTTAAGTGCACTGCCTGTAGAAATATATTGTTGTCTGACATAAATAAGTATAGCCAACGCAAGTGGAATTGTAAGCAAAAACCATGGTATTAGAATTCCAATTAGTACTAGTCCACCAATAGAAGCATAAATGCCTTCGAGTGCTCGCTATAAAATGTATTTTTAGTTAATTTAAATATTAATAATGCAATCAAACCTTGATTTGTGATGGTAAAGTTTCATCTGCTATAGCTTGATCCTTACTACAGCGATTTAGAAGTCTTCCAATTGGATTCTGAATATAAATTTATCCTTTAGTTTAGCTATGAACCTAGGTACTTACTTGGTCAAAAAATAGAAGAGGTGAACGGAACACTTTTTCAACCATTAACTTATGCATATTATTTGAAGAAGTTAAATATGCTTGGTTGAAAACAATACACTTCAAAATAGAAATTATGATAGCAAATATACCAAGGCATGTAAAGAGTATTAAATAAGTGTCTTTTTCTAAATTATACTTGTTATCTGTCCAAACTCGAATCCAATATTCTACCATCAAAAGTGCTCCTTGCCCCAAAATAAAGATGGGAATTATTAAAAAAGTTGACCTGTACATTTATATAATAGAAATCCATATCAATAATTTAAAAACTTACCAACCAGCTATGTGTAGATATTCTAAATAATGAGAGAGCTTAATATTTCCACTCTCCATCGTCTCTTGTTTCACTACGTCTCCTTTTGAATTGTCCAACTTACTATATTGACTAGCATTTGATTCTGTTTTAGCCGATACCAACTCCATCTCATTTTTTATATCTTTAGAACTTGATAAGATGCGCTTAATACCATTGTTGGTATCTAATAAATAAATTTCATCACAAGCTTGTAAGCTTATAATAGAATGTGTTGCCATAATTACTGTTCTTCCCTTTAAAATGCCATTTAGTACATAATCAACTATGTATTTAGCTGTTGAAGCATCAACAGCAGATAAAGGATCATCCAAAAGAATAATAGGAGCAGTACTATAGCATGCACGAGCAAGAGATACTCTAGCCTTTTGTCCGCCACTTAAATTTACCCCTCTTTCCCCCTTTTAAAATCACAATATACATTAGGAATATAAATAGCTTATAACTTACAATTTCAGTGTCACTCCCATTAGGTAGCATTGAAATATCATGATTAAGCGCACAAGCAGCCACTACATTATCATAGCGTTTATTATCAAATATGCTGCCAAAGACAATATTATTTCGCATTGTATCATTTAATATCCAAGGCTGTTGTGGGGAATAAGCTATATTTCCTTCCACAAATAATGAACCTTGAGTTAGCTGTAAAGTCAATTGTTACCTTCCAAAATTATAAAACAACATCAATTAACCAACCTTTAGTTCTTCTAAAATTCCATATAGCAAGGAACTCTTACCACTTCCCACCTTACCAATCAAGCCAGCAAGAATACCCTTCTGTATTTGCATGTGTATGGGCTTGGGATTAATACCTTTGGAAATGTTTCTAGCAAAATTACAGTCCAAAAGCTCAATAGCAAAAATGTTTGAGGTTTTCTAAACATATATTATTCTTAATTAATAAAATCTTCAGAATAAATATAAAAAGTTAAGCACATACCTTTGACTTGGATGTTTGCAAACTATTTGGCAAGTCCAACACCTTCTGTAGTCTCTCCACAGCTACTAGTGCATTAGAAATTTGTGGCAAACCTTTCAAAAATTTCATTCATTGAGTTGTTTTGTTTTATAGAAACCATACCATAAATGAAACATACGCTATCCCTTGCAAGAATACTGAAGAAAGATAGGACAACAAAAGCTATTGTCACGTCAAGCATTTTATGATGATAGATATAAGCACCAAAAGCAAATAAGCATGCAAATGGAACAATTGAATCCTGCGACAATATTAGAGAATGATAATTAGAATCTTGAGAAACTAAAACATACCTTCAAAATATACATGATTGTACTGATCATAGCCAACTTGGAAATCCACTTCATTTCACTAGCACGAGCATTATTGATTTTTTTCATAAACAAAGGAATCCAACCATTGAACTTGATAATTCTAATGCCAGCCAAAGTTTCACAAAGGATTCCCACCCGAGCATCAGTGTGAGAATGCTTTCTTCTTGCCAAGTGCCCCATATACTTAGCCACATAGAACTAATATAATAATGATGTAAGCAATTTGGAAAAAGAATCAGGAATTCTTATTACCATTAATATCCCCACCACGACCGTCCAAGCTACTCCAGCAAGTGTGGCAATGCCTGCTTCTCGACATAAGAAAAAACTCACAACAAGCAAATGGAATGGAAAGCAAACCACTGCAAATCCCACAATGGTTCAGAGCAAAGCGATTGCAACTACATATCATACCATAAGGAAGTATACACAAGCAATCAATCAGCTTTTGGGTATCACTGTTGACAAGATTAAACAGCAAGCTATCCAAGGATCCACTAAATTCAGGAGTTCTTGTGCTCAACATCTTCACAAATCACAAAAAAGTTAATATAACAAAGAAGCAAAAGAGTATTATGCATAAAGACCTTGTTGAAAGCAGCCATGGAAAAAGCAGCACGCAAGCGAACGCCATATCTCCAGCCATAGAAGAACATCCAGATGTTGCATAAGCTCTGGGATTGTGCCAGGAAGAACAGTCCAGCAACAAGGAGGAAATCACTCCATGTTCTGGAGCTCTTGAGTCTGGAGCGATGAATGAGCTCCTTAATAACATAAACCTGTGACAGATCGGTGTAAGTTACGAATGTCCCAAGAGCTTACTGCTCAAAAACCTGCAAGATGAGCGCTGCCAGCCACAAAGGGCGCAAGATAAACAAGAGGAAGAACTTCACTCCCAGGAACCTCAAGATCACTCGCAACACTCTTTTGCTCCCCTCTTTCTCGTAGCATTCGTTCCATCTTTGCTCGCAAGATTCTGCCTTATCCTCTTGATTAAGCTCATACAAATCGCTCATCTAGTAGACAGAGAGACACAAATTTTGGCAAGATTGGTGAATTTAACACTACCGCCAAGGGACGCTTGTTCCCTGTGGAGATCATGGCTCCCATCCAGTGCCATGTCAAGCGGCTTAGAAACGACGCCTTTAGCTCTGGGCTCTCCATTTGGTAAAAGATCTCTGTGTTGGACCGAGAGTTCCAAGACAGGTATATAAACTTGGTACAAACCAAACTAGCGTTGAAAATGCCATTTATTATTATAACAATTTCTAGGATTGCCAGAATATTCTGTTATCGTAAGTGGAAGTTTTTTAAGTTGGAGCACAGGCATTTTTCAATTATAATTAGATTAGATTAGAAAGTTACTTGCATTTTTTAAATCTAAATAATAATCTATCACAATAAGGAGGAGTTGCAGGCGGATAATTATAAAGGGGTTATTTTGTTGACCCCCAGCGACCTCCTATTGGCTAAGGGCAAACATTAGCGCGATTATTGACCAAGGGAGAGGAAGGTGCTGTGACACGTGTTGCGTGCAAAGTGTTGACCGTAGAACGAAGAAAGCACCGTGAAGAATGCATCGCCATCGCGTTGCTCACCGGCCATCCAGGGATGCAACAGCCAACAGCGTGGAGAGCAGGCTGGCCCCGGGGCTACTGATGGCGTGGCCGCGCATTTTCTCCATTGCCGATTTTGGGGGAGTGAGCGATGGGATCATGCTTAACGTGTCGTTCACATTGGCAGCTTTGGCGAGCTGGGAGGCACGACCCTCTATGTGCCGCGAGGCAAATGGTCGACACGTTAAGCATGACTGCACTTGTCGCCTGTCGAGTGTTTTCTTTTGTAATGTATTTTTAGGGTTTATGAAATGGATTCGCGATCCAAATCTGAGGCGCTGTGTCAATGCCGCTGGAACAAGCCACGTCCTGGTACGGTTTGTGTCAAGATCTAATTGATTTGTCTGCGCTTTCTTCTAATGTCTTCCATTTTACTCTCTTTTCTTCTTCTCAAACACTTCAACTCTTAGCGTCTTTTCTTGCTGTTTTCGTTCTTTTCCTGATTTGATTTTTGCGATACTTTGTGGTGTCTTTGCTCCTGAGAATCCCATCGAAAGTTTTCACTTTCTTATGCTCTGAACTTAACAGTTTTCTTTTTTCCCTTCTGCAGGAGAAATACTGGCAACGAAACCATGATGCTCAAATCTCAAAGCTATTCCAATCATCTGGTACTCACCTCACACACAGGCAGTTATTTTGTAGTGCCAGTAGTGATGCTCCGGACCGTAGTTTCCCATATATGCCTTGTGAGACTCGCTGTTTGGATCATCGCTGAAAAGCTCGAAGTCGCCCAGGGGCTCGGATTCGAGGTTGAAGCGCAGGTTCTTAAACCTGACGACCTTGTCGTCGATGGCTACCCAGCGCTTTGCAGAGACAGAGCTGGTGAGAAGTTCGTCATCCGAGTAAACTTTAGACTGTTCCATGAGGCAAACGTATAGCTCCACCACCATCCTGTCTTGTCCTTTAAACCCAGAGAAGTAAAGGTTCGTCTCCGTGTACTGCTCGAGAGGAAACACCAGCTTCTCTGGCGATGAATTTGCATCCTGGATCCAAGGTGCGAGAGCGGACTTCACCCGTAGCACAGCCGCCGCACTAACTTCACACAGAGTTCCGTTGGATCCAACGTTCGCCTTGCGTACCAGGTTGAAATGCAGGCAAGCGCGGGTTCCTCATCTCACTGGCTGCACTTCATGCTCGCAGTCAGCGAAGAAGGCGGTGTAGTTGAAGCCCGGGACGTCAAAGTCGAAAGTTTTCGTGAGGTTGCCGTGCTGATGTCGCGTAGGAAGCTGGAGTATGAGGGTGGCAAACATGCCAGGCTCCTTCTCGGTGTCTCGGTGTAGCTTGAAGTGTCCATCTTGTGAAAGAACGATAAAAGATCGATCAGTAAAAGCTTTGAACAAAATGTTCCTTCTACGAAGTATAAGAAAGACCCACGCAAAGAGAAACCAGCTATGAAACTACTTAAGTGATCGTAAGAAATCAAGCAAGGACGTAAATTAGAGTGTGTGTCCACAATCCTTGTGAAGGAAGAGAGCCTAGATCAGGCTTCCAAAGATGTCCCGGAGAAAACAAATACAGCCCAAGACTAGCCAAGAAAAAACGCAAAGAACAAACCAAAGGGTACCAAGAAAAAGAGGAAATGGAGAATACCTGAATCGTAAACCAGCAGCTTGTACAAATGGGCTTCCACCTGGATCCATCCCCAAGCCACGAACAGCAGTAGCAGCGACGGCTTGGACAGTGTCGCCGTGGAAAAATACGACAAGACTTTGCTACCATCGATCTGCCAAGCTCTTCGCACAGCCGTGTCGACCAGAGTCCGATTCCCAAGCCCATGCGGCGCCTGCTCGGCCGCTTCCTGGCGCCTAAATGCGTCGTCGAGCGATATTGGAAGCGCTACCTCACCGATTCCTTGCACGGAGATGGAGCTCGGGAGGTGATCATCGATGCTCCCTCCACACGCAAAGATTCCTGCGGCTTCTTGCGTGAGCGCTTCGCAGAGCGCCTTTCGATCGACCATTTGGGAAATATTTTGTGAGCATAGAACCCTAAACTCTTTCTTTCTTTCCCCTTTCTCGAGAAAGCTTCCCGCGCAAGCCTCCAAAATTAAATGTGACACGTGTACAAAGAATAAAGGTATCTTGTTTTTTTACCATTAAATCAATTGACAGAATATACTTTGTGGGTTAATCTGGTAAGAGATTTCACCTAGGCTGGTAAAAAGAAACCATTGCTCTTCGCGTGATTACGCGGGTAGGACGCTAGGGTTTGAGGGCGCGAGCGACGCAGCGAGCGAGGTGGAGAGCGGCCATGGAGACATTCTATCTCGTCGTCTTCGCGGTCCAGCTCCTCGCCGTGGCGGCGCTCGAGTTTCGCCGTGGCAGCAAGGACCGGATCGTCGCGACATCGGCCTTCAATGCCTTCAAGAACAATTACCTGGTGGTCTACTCGCTCATGATGGGTGAGTTCTTTCTCGATTTCGCCCGCATTGCGTGCTTCCAGCTCCTAGATCTCGCCAAATGCGCACTCGGATCTCTAGATCTTAACTCTCTTCTCTCTTTCTTTCTCTCCCCCAGCGGGAGATTGGCTCCAGGGACCATACGTTTACTTCCTCTACAGCCACTATGGCTTCCAGAAGGGGGATATTGGGCGGCTCTTCATCGCTGGCTTTGGATCTTCCATGCTGTTTGGGACGATTGTGGGATCTCTCGCGGACAAATAGTAAGCTTCTTGGTTTGGATTAGAATTGGAATTCACGCTCTTTCTATGCGCAGTGGCCGGAAGCGAGCTAGCATAACGTACTGCATCACCTACATTTTGAGCTGCTTCACCAAACACTCTCCTCAGTTCCAAGTTCTCATGGTGGGAAGAATTCTTGGTGGAATTGCTACCTCGCTCCTGTTCTCGGCATTTGAGTCGTGGCTAGTTGCTGAGCACTTTAAGGTTTGTGGATTTGTCAGTACGTTGGATTGTCTGACAACTTTCTTCTTTAACTTCGCTGTGATTTTTTAGAGAGGATTCGAGGAACAGTGGCTGTCGATGACGTTTTCTAAAGCAATCTTTCTTGGGAACGGATTGGTAGCCATACTCTCGGGGCTGGTTGCCAACAGTCTCGTCGGATCTCTCAACTTGGGACCTGTTGCTCCTTTTGATGCCGCATCCTGCGTGCTAGCGATCGGCATGGCGGTTATCATGTTTACGTGGGCTGAGAACTACGGAGATCCTACCGAAAGCAAGACGCTTTTGACGCAGTTCAAAGTCGCCGGGTCTGCTATCGCCTCTGGTAAGCTTTTCATGTCTTTATGCAAGCGAGAGCCTTATCTTTGGATTCTATGTAGATGAAAAGATTGCTCTCCTAGGAGCAATCCAATCTCTCTTCGAGGGCTCCATGTACACTTTCGTCTTCCTCTGGACGCCTGCATTGAGTCCTAACGATCAGGAGATTCCGCATGGCTTCATCTTCGCCACGTTCATGCTGGCGTCTATGTTTGGGAGTTCGCTCACTTCCAAGCTCATGGCTCGCGGTCGTGTGGAAGGATACATGCAGATAGTGTTCTTAGTTTCTGCGGCAGCTCTCTTCCTCCCAGTTCTCGTTGGTGTGAGTGTTTATATGTATGCTCCGGTTGATGTTACTGACACTGTTGATCAGTTTATGACAGAATCGGCTGGAGAAGCTACCGACTCTATCAGCACAAGCGGCCGAATTCAGATGCTCGGCTTCTGTGTTTTTGAAGCCTGCGTTGGAATTTTTTGGCCCTCGATCATGAAGATGCGCTCTCAATACATTCCAGAGGAATCCAGGAGTACAATCATGAACTTCTTCCGGATTCCTCTTAACATCTTCGTCTGCGTGGTGCTTTACAACGTAAGTTTCTTTCTCAAGGTTTAACTTCTCCCGTGTTTTGATATCTTTGTTGTCGCTACTTTCAGGTGAGCGCATTCCCGATCACCTTCATGTTTGGAATGTGCTCCATTTTCCTTGTGATGGCTGCGGTTCTTCAGAACAGGCTGATGGTTGTGTCCGAGAAGGACAAGGCGAAAACCAGTAAGTCATTCACATCTAATCCGTAAGCTCTCTGGTTGATGATCGTTATTTCTGTAGAGCCGGTGGAGGCCTGGCCTGAGAAAGAGCATGAAACGGAAGCAGAACCCCTTAACGTCTAACATACTCGACTTGGCAAGGAAACGTAAGAGCTTGATTTCCTCGAGGATTTCATTTCGGCCTGATCTCATTTGTGGACAGTAGTCCCGTTTTTTCTTTTTCTTCTTTACAAAACGAGTTTTGTAGCTGTGTCATTGCAGCAGCACCACTTCTACTTGTATATGTCACTATATCGTAATACAACATTGAGCACAATTTCCTCCGTCATGGGATCATGGGGCTTACGTGAAAATGTGGAGACTTTGGTCCTTTCCTTGATTAGGCGACGTGCGAGGGATCATGTGAGTAGTTTTCTCGCTTTGTTTTTATTCGAGGTGGCTGATCCAACTCTCCACATGCAGGAACTCTGACGATCACGTCGCGCAAAACTTTCTTCTTTCTCTCTCTCGCTCTCGGGTTTCGTGGAACAGCAAAGGTACAATGGAAGCGTTTAGAAAAAGCGCGAGCTTGCTTCCACTTGTGGCCATTTTGCTGGCGGAAATCCAGTGCTGTTTCGGTCAGATGTCAGGGAACGAGACGGGCCTACAGTGCTTTGGAATGCATGCTCTGATTGGTGCTGCCGAGCCGACCCCCGTGAAGGCCATCGCGTTGCTACAAGAAGCTGGCAATTCAAACGTCACTGGAGTGGTCTATTTCACACAAAACGCTACAGGAAGTAAGCTAAGCATCGCAAACTCTTTACTTTGGATCATCTCTCGAAATAACTTCACGGTTTTTCCCAGGTCATACGGCTCTGCACGGCATAATTCAAGGACTCAAACCAGGCTTACACGGCCTTCATATCCATACATCTGGCGATCTAAGCAGTGGTTGCAACGTCCTGGGTAAGAGAGCTTGTTTTTTTCTTCTCTTTGATAGAGAGCCTTAAGTCGTGCTCGACTTGACAGGTACGCACTACAATCCTTTGAACAGGAGGCATAACGACAATGTAAATATCGATCGCCATGCTGGAGATCTTGGCAACATCCAGGCAGCCGCCAATGGTAGAAACTTTTCAGTAAAAAACCATTTTTTCTGTATCTGACTCGTGATCTCGTTGTCGCTTAGGCGTCGCCGAGTTCTTCTCTGCAAACTGTGAGGTACTTTCAAGTCTACCAGGCCTTGAGGAAGTTTCTAACTCTTGCGTGTAGATCCCACTCCGGGGAGCGAATTCCATACTCGGAAGATCCATTGTCGTGCACGATCACGCCGACGATCTTGGGCGGAGTGAGTATGAGAGATTTTAGTGCTCGATGAGAACTTACAAGCTCTGTGTGATCGATCTTTCAGGCGGGAGTATATCTGGGAACGCTGGAGGTCCTGTTGCTTGCGGTAATTCTTTCTTGGTTCCAAGGTAGAAATTTCGGTGTTCCTACCATTTGATCTCTACAGGAATAATTGGCGTTCGCTACCACGCATAGATTTCTCTTTATTTTGTTTGCTTTGTTCCCTCGTTCGCGCGCTTTTTCAAAATTTTAAATTCAAAAATATTGGTTTGCCCTAGAATAGGATGAATGGTTCGCGCATCGATCAAGAGCTTTCTCGCGATCGGGAGGGCGATCGGCAGTCGCAGATCCATGGCAATGCTTGCGCCCAGCGAGACCTGGCAGCTCAATTCCTCTTCTCCATCGCCCTCTTCCCTGAACGATCTTGACGATTCGCCCGCGAGATACCAAGAACTGCTCACCACAACAGTAGAGCGATTGCTGAGCTCCAGCCGCGCCGCAGACGCCGACACCTATCTCTCGATTCTCGCCCGGATCGCCGACGCAGGAGCTCTAGCCCACGGCCGCCGGATCCACGCTTTCATCTCCAAACTGGGCTGTGATCCCAATCGCAACCTCACGATCGTCCTGTGCGGCGTGATCCGGATGTATGGCTGCTGTGGATCGGTCTTGGATGCGCGTGATCTCTTCGATTTCATGCCCGGGAAGGGCCCAATCGAGTGGAACACGATGCTCGTGGTGTATACCCAGAACGGGCATCTTGAGCCTGGTATGGATCTCTTGCAAAGAATGCCTCTCCAGGACGTGGTTACCTGGAACACCACCATAGCTGCGATGCTCCGGAATGGCCACGTCCGCGAGGCGAAGATAGTCTTCGATCAAATCCCCGAGAGAAGCGTCGCGAGCTGGAACACATTGATCACACACTATGCCGAGAATGGGGATTTTGGCAGAGCTAGGAGGATTTTCGAGGAGATGCTCATCGAGGGTGTGGCGCCCGGCCCAGTGACGTTCCTTGGTGCGCTGGGGAGCTGCGGGGGCGCGGCCTCTCTGCGATTTGGGCGTATGCTACACGAGCGGATCCTGGAAGCGCGGATGGAATCCAACGTCCGGGTCGCGAGCGCTATCGTGAGCATGTATGGGCGATGCGGCAGCATCGCCGAGGCGAGAGCTACCTTCGATCGACTCCCAAATCGCAACCGCGTGACTTGGAATGGGATGCTCGCAGCGTATGCACAGAACGGGCATAGCATCCAGGCGCTCGAGTTCTTCCACACGGTGATGAGGAGAGAAAGAAACATCGCTCCAAACAGGATCACCTTCCTGAGCTTGCTCGAGGCGTGCTCCAATCTCTCGGCGCTCGAGGAGGGAAGATCCATCCACTCGAGCATCAGAAACTCTCCCGGCCTGGAATCCAATCCCAAAGTCGTGAGCGCGCTCGTCACCATGTACGCGAAGTGTGGCGAGCTCCACCTCGCAAAGAAAGTCTTTGACGAGTGCCAGAGCTGGAACAAGGACGCCATAGCCTGGACCGCGATGATCCTCGCGTATGCGCGTAACGGGCATCCCAAGGAAGCGATCAGGCTCTTGCCTCTCATGGACAGCCAAGGCATCCACACCGACAAAGTCACCTTCGTGAACATCCTCGACGCTTGCGGCAGCATCACCGACGTGAAACTCGGGAGATCTCTCCACAAACTCTTGGAGGAAGAACAGGCCGAGATGGACGTCCACCTCGGGACGAGCATCGTCGGGATGTATGGCCGGTGTGGAAGCCTGGTTCGAGCTCGAGAGATCTTCCACAGCATGAGAGAAAAAGACACATTCACCTGGAACACGATCATCGCTGTGCACTCTCACAACGGAGATCCTCGAGGAGCTCTCGAGTTCTTCCGGCTCATGGAGCTCCAAGGCGAGCGGCCGGATCGACTGACTTGTACGTGTGTTCTTGCGGCTTGCGGACACGCGGGGCTTGTGGCCGACGCTCGCTACCACTTTGTGAGCATGCGAGAGAGCTACGGTGTGGAGGCCGGGGTGGATCACTACGCTTGCATGGCGGATTTGCTGGCCAGGTCCGGGAAGCTGGAACAGGCCGAGGAGTTGATCCACGCCATGCCGTTTGAGCCTCACATCCATCTCTGGACGTCGCTGCTGGGGGCTTGCAATGTTCACAAGAATGTGGAGATTGGCATCCGGGTTTCCAAGCACGTCGATGAGTTGCTCCCGGATTCTAGCTGCGGACAGGTGATGCTCCGGAATGTGCTGCTCTCGGGAACTCGAAAGTCGGGCTCGAGCGCTCTCAAAGTCTCGTGAAGATGTTTGGTTCATTGCCAACTCTCGGGTAAAGTTCCTTTCTTTGTTCTTTTTTCTCCTGTGTTAACACAAGATCGTTTGTTCAGGGAGAGATTCTTTTCGAGGAGAAGATCATGGTGCTGAGGATCATCGGTAAGTTTTTGTTTCTTCTTTTTGCAATCACAGGCCGATATTGAGCATTAGAAAGAGGTCAGCTTTATTGTTGTTCTTCTTCTTTACTTCTTCTAACAGCAAGCTCTTTTCTCAGACGAAGCGTAAGAAGCAAAGCTTTATGGGCTAGTGGCAAGGATAAAGTCTTATACTCCAACACAGTGAGCACTTTCTTTCATACTTCCAAGTTACTAACGTAAGCCACTTTACTTTTTCACAGTTCTTCATGCTCAATACTTCACAGATTTGGTCCATCAAACGAGGATAGTTTTTACTCAACAGGAGGAGCTCACTACTCAGAGATTTCGCTGGAGAGTGAATCAGCGAGTGAGTTCTTTTCTATAATTTAAGAAGATCATGGTGATCAGTGATCAGTGAGCATTGAATTCAACTTTCTATACTTCCACTCACGCGCAATCAGCTTTGTGCAGGACTTTCATGAATTCGCAGCTTCCATCCTTTTGACTCTCACTCAAGCTCACGAGATCTTCCTCGAGGTACCAAAATCTAGCTCTTGTGATCATGTGTCCGCCGTTTAAAGCATTGTTTTCTCGTCGCAGGCAAAGATCTTTCGATGGTCAGAAAGCCAAGATATCTCACACCATTTTTTGAGGCGTGCGTAGAGCCAGAGCTCCAATCTTTTGGACGAGCCCAACTTACGCACGCTGCTCATCCATCCTCGTCTCTCATTCAAGTGTAAGCGTTTGGAAAGTGAGGCTCCCGCTTCACTTCCGGTTTTACGTCAAGCTCTCGCACAAACGACGAAGACGTGTAATCATAACTCTCACATATACGTCGTAGCATTCAAGGGGCGAGGACCATGGAGGCCGTGAGATCGATCGATCCATCACGGGCTTCGTTTGGGCTGTCCACTTCAGACATCTCGACTTCATGTTAAGTGTTTCAGGATAGAATCCCCACAACTCCCACTTCTTAACATGACACGAAGGAGAGAGACGTTTGAAATATTTTTAATTTTATTACTTGGTAAATAAAATTATTAGAACATACTTATTCTTAATACATTAGCAATATAAATTAATTACATAATTAGCATATAATGTAAGCTAGAGTAGCTCAGTTGGTTAGAGCATGTGGCTGTTAACCACAGGGTCAAAGGTTCAAATCCTCTCTCTAGCGATTAGTATTAACTGTTATTACAAATTAATACAAACTAGTATCATTATTATTATTATTATTATTATTATTATTATTATTGCTATTAATAATACAGAAATTGTCTGATTGATACTTTGACCAGCATGGTCAGCTGAAGCTGGGAATGAAGATAAAACAAAGAAAAAAACTAGATAAGATCAGAACCATGAGATTTTTAAATGAAGGAATGGGACTGGAAAAATTCCATGGTTGAATTAAAATCACTGAAAATCACATGCTGTCACTGTGGAGATGAGCCTCATGTTAACTGATGATTCCATGTGAGAAATGAATGTGAGAGAGGTGCAGCACTACATGTGACTGTGATCTCCACTGCCACAAAAATTATCTAGGATTAAAAAACAGGGCTTTGGAAACAGAACTAAATCCTTCTCCGGAAAGCCAGCCGGAATCTTTGGAGTTCACTGTGCCGACACACTGCGAAAGCAAAGAAAAATCATAAAACAAAGCTTGAAAGATCTGCAATCCAATCCGTAACAAGTTATAGATGATCTTGTCGAGAATCAAGCTAATGTGTAGAGAAAAGCCTGCAATGAACGAATTGATTGAATCGAGGAAAAAAACACGTTACCATCAACAAGAACTTGCTCCTCTCTCTCTCTCTATCTGTGTTACACTACTATACACCCGCCAGGCAGCAACGAAAGAGATGCGAGGACGAAGAGGGCGAGGAGGAAGAGGCAGTAGAACCTGTCCGCCGGATCTCGCTCGCTCGCTCCACCGTCTTGGCGGCCTTCTCCCCCCGCTTGGCCTCGGCGGCGGCGCGGAGCTCCTCGGCACGCCGCCTCGCCGCCGCCAGCTTGTTCATCATTCTCTCGTGTGCATGGGATCTCATTCTCTCCACTTTCACCTGCGAGGAAGAGAATCATTCACATCATTCCAGCCAAAGCTAATCCCCCAAGTGAGATCTAGTCCTAGCTAACGGAGCTCTGTCTATCTATCTCCCCAGTGATAGATAGATACTATACTCTATAATAGCCAAGCAAATCACTCGCTTGAATGATGCTAGAACATGGACATGTGCGAAGGCCTGATGATGGTGGACTGACTGACTGACTGATTGTGGTGAGTGGACTGGCGACTGTGGACTGGGACTGGACCGGCGCTGACCGCTCTGACCGTCGGCGCCGGTCACGGATTAAAACCAGAGTTTTCACCTCAAGTTCTATTCTATTCCATTTTCACCTGCCGCATTTACTCCCATTCGTTAAGTGAGGAATCAATCAGTAGCAGCACAGCAGCAGCGGTCATAGCCAGCCAGCCAGCTAAAAAGCAAAGGATGAACAAACAAAAAAGAAGAGAAGGAAAAGATTTCACACAAAACGAGATAAACAGGCAGAGGACCTGGCAGGGGTTTGGAAGGATGTAAAGCTCAACACAGGTGCCGTACGCTTTGGATACCAAGACGTACGCTCATGATTCTATTCTATCGCGGAGATCACTAAAAACACTCCTAGAGGGAAAAGCTAGAACTTGACGCTAAAGAGCCAAAGAACATAAAAACATAGAGCAGGGAGCGAGCGACAGCTTACCTCCATTCGTCTCAATTCGGCCTCGGCCTTGGCCTTCTGGTGATTCTCCCACGCCAAAATCTTAGCCTCCTCGCGCTCATACCTTTTTGTTTGCATCGATAGATCGGAAAAAACGCAAGCTTTAGAACTGAATCGATCAGGCAAAGAACTCTATCGCTTACCTCGCCATGTACTTGGCGTGCTCGGCCTCCTCCCACGCGGTCGCGCGGCTTTCAACCATGGTCCGCCTCACCTCGTCCAGGTCAACGGCCGGTCTAAGAGAGTCAACGGTTTGATTTTGCTGCTGCTGCTGCTGGATCACCACCTTGAGGCATTTGGACGCATCGTTCTCTTCCTCCTCGCGCGTCGCCCACGCCGCGATGCTACTCTTGCCCAGCTGCGTGCCAAGCACCAAGATCTCGTGCCTGGTAGCGTTCCTGGTGGTGTGGATCGTCGCTCCACCCGGGGTCGCTGGAAGCGCTGGAATCGATGCGAGCTGCTCGTCCAGATGATCGCCAGGAGGAGGGAGCGGCGGAGGAGGAGAGGCGTCGGTGCCGGTGGAGCGGTAATTCGGTGGCATGGTGGGCGTGGTTGCCTGTGGCGGCGGCGGTGGCGGCGGCGGTGGAGGGATTGGCCGCAATCGCCCCGGCGAGACGCCCGGGCTGGTCATGATTGGAGTGCGCATCGGCGTCGCTGTTCTTGACGGCTCCTGGCTCGCGATTGGGGTCATCTCCGTGCCCATGTCGCGCATGGAGATGGATCGAGGCCCTGGAGCGATGCACGCCACGCTCTCGTACAGAGACGTCGGGCTCTTGGGCGGCTGGTGGGGATCTTGCTTGAAATCGAAGCCGCTGGTAGCCTCTGCGAGGAAGAATCCAGTGTTAGATCGTGGAAGAGAGGAAGAATGAGGGAAGAATTCATCGATTCACGCGAGATTATGGATGCATGGCAAGGAATCTCCAAGAATGCGATGAAGAACAATGGATGCATGGCAAGGAATCTCAAGGAATGCGAGGAAGAAGAGGGAAGAAATCTCGCTACGCACCTGTCGGATCCGTGAAAGGCTTCTGGATGCGCAGCTGCTGGTTCTTGACCGCCTCGCAGATCGTCGCCTCCAGCGCCTTGCCGCCATCGCTCTTCACCATGGGGAAGCTAAATCTCGATCCCACGACGCCGGCGGCCATGGAAGAAGAAGTGGACGACGAATCGATCATCATCTTCTTCTCCCGGTCCTCGGATTCTCCCTCCTCGTCCTCGTCCTCCTCGAGCTCCTCGACGCGGTCTCCCTGGATGAGATCGCTGCTCTCCAGCTCGCGATCGCCGCCGCCTTGCGGCTGCTGGTGGAGCTTCTTGAATCCGTGAATCTGCTGCCTCTTGCCGGATTTCTTGGCGGAGGATTTGAGCCACTTCTCGGCGTCGTCCCATTTGGATGGGAATGTGAAGAGAGCCCTGGAGGAGGAGGAGGAGGAGGAAGAGGTCGTGGAAGAGGTGGGCTTCTTGGAGGCCGAGGGAGGAGAGTGGTGGTGTTGATCGGACGGTAGAGCGACCTCGAGAACCGGCGTGGCGTCATCGCTGTCGTCCAAATGCTGTTGGTGCCTCGCCATAGCGGCTGGGTCGCTAGCTACGCGAACGTTAAAAGCACCTGAAACACATAACAAAGTGAGAGACCCGTGAATATGCCTGGCCAATGTAGGTGAATATTCGCCTCCATAGCCAGGAAGAACACTCGAGACAACTCAAGAACGCGAAGAACACGACCAAGAACGGCAAGAACAGGGGACCTAGAGCCCGGGCAGCCGATATTTCGGAGCCGATTGAGCGAAAGAGTGAGAGAGGATGCGATTACCTTCTGGGAAGAAGCCGCGCCGGATGCTGTTCTTGCTGAAGGATTTCATGATCCCATTGGCGCTGCTACCCTGATCAGCCCCTGCTGCTGAGGCGGACATTATTCCTCCCTATCAATCTCTTCCTGGCCTCGGCCGCGATTCCTCCAAATCCAGTGGAAATTCCTGCCTCGAGAAGCCTCAATCCATTCCACAGCTCACCTGTGTCCCCTCTTTGACCGATCGGGAGCGATGATCTAGGAGCGCATTGTGTCAATCTCTCAATTTCGCGACAGCGAGCATCCTAATCCTAATCCCTGGACAAGAGACACACAGCCTTTCTCCTCAGTGAGCCAGCTCTTTGATGATAGAGCAATGCGAGTTTTTTATTCGCGCTCTCTCGTTCACGACCCAAGGAATAAAATGCGCACAAAGGGAATTCGATGGTATATACTCTTAACGGTACTGTGGGGAACATTCCGTTGCCGAGGATGGTATATGCCAGTGATACTGTTAAAACGTGGCCAGATCGAGACCGTTCATCTTTGGTTGGAAAATATCACAACGACCTGACTGGATTGTCCTCATCGAAAATGGATGAAAGGACGGAATGGCGGTGGCCAGGATTTGGGATGTGTGTTCTTGCCTCTTTTGGGACATCGTGGGTGAATATAAGTGTTTGGAGAAAGGTTTCTCTTTGGTTAAAGGATTAAGAAGAGCGAGGATTTGTTTGATCGATTTGTGGCCTTGGTCAAGAAATGCTGCTGGCGGATGAAAATCACGCCTGTGATCAATGCAAGTTGCCAAATTCTCGGAGACCAACCAGCAAAAATCCCAGCTCTCGCAGGGCTAAATGCTTTTTGACCACTACTCTGGACGCATTGTAGGAACCAACCAACCAACATATCAAATTTTCATATGATAAACTATGAATATATGATAGTTTTATGATAGTACTACGAATATAACAATTGTACATATTCGAATTTTTATTATTGGTAACAATTATTATTTGAAAATGAAGTACATTTCTGATAAAATAGTATATTTATATAGATTAGAGAGATAATTAATCTTATGATAGAGTCGTGCGAATATTGAGAATATTCTTCGTGGCGGTGGATACATTGCATTTGAGAGAAGTACGTTCCTTCCTCTCTCCCTTGGAGAACCACTTGAGCCTCCATTTGTTCCTTCTCTCTTCTAGGGTTTATGAGCGAGGGCAATGGCGCGAGGGGGAGGGGCCGCTGCCGCGCTGCTCGCGCTCCTCCTGCTTGGATCCCATCCATGCGCCTACGCGCAGGAGGATCATGATCGCGATCGCGCCTACAAGTGCTTCCCGGCGATCTTCTCCCTCGGCGACGATTGGGCCGACACTGGCAATGCGCGCACGCTGTATCCCACCGATCTCGAGGCCCAGGAGGAAGTCTCGCCTTACGGCATGACCTTCTTCAAGAGCCCCGCGCATCGGCTCTCGGATGGAAGGCTGATGATCGATTTCTTGGGTGAGTGATCTTCTAGGTTGCTATAAGATTTCTTATCGTTTACTGGCATTGCATGCTACGTTATAGCGCAAGCATTCGGCATGCCTCTCTTGTCATCCTACACGACCGGCGTGGTGTCGAATTTGCGGCATGGGATTAGCTTCGCGGTCGCTGGAAGCACTGCCAGCTTCTCGGATCTCAAAGTCCCGTATCCTTTGCTCATCCAGGTGCAGTGGGTGGACAAGTTCCAGTCGGATGTTTTAGATGCTCTCGCTACTGGTAAGAATCCATCGATATCTTTACTATGCGACCTTCTTTGCAACTCATCTTTGTTGTGATGCCAAATTCAAGGAACCACTCAGCCCCTCCCGGATCCAGCGTACTTTCGGACCGCTCTTTACGTGATCTCTACCGGGCAGAACGATTACCGATACGCTCTACAATCTGGAGCGATGAGCGTGGCCGATGTGGAGTTCACTGTCGTTCCTCAAGTCGTGGAGAACATCACCGCGAGTATTGCTGTAAGCTTCTCTCGATTTTCTTCTTCAGTTTTTGAGTGCTCATGCATCTAGTTTTCCTGTGACTTTGGAGCATTGCATTTGGTTTGCTAGACAAAGCTTTCGAGCTCTTACTCCAACGATCTTCTTACAGCTGCTAGCCGAGAACCTCCAGGCGCGGAAGTTTTTGGTGATCAGCGTTCCTCCCGTCGGCTGCACACCCGAGATGCTCACACTCTTCGCCAGCACCGACCCGCTTGATTACGACGACAATGGCTGCCTTCGCAAGCTAAACCGGTTGTCCGAGCTCCACAACGAGCTACTCGCGGCAGCCGTGGACAGGATGCGCGTTCTCCTCTCGCTCCAAGACCCCTCCTACAACATCACTTTCGTGGACATGTACAGCATCATGACCGAAGTGCTGTACGATCCTCCAAAGCGTGGTAAGCTTTCTTGCAAAGTTCTTGACCATTGATCTTGCGATCATTCCTTCGTTCCCAGGCTTCTCGGAGCCGCTGCTTGCGTGCTGCGGGGCCAAAGAGCCATACAACTTCCACGAGAAGGTGATGTGTGGGAGGAGGATGCTGATCCAAAACTCCACGGTCCTGGCCAGCGCTTGCAGCAATCCGCGAGAGTACATAAGCTGGGATGGCATCCACACCACCGAGGCGTTCAATCGCTACGCCGTCAACTCCATCCTCGAGGGGAGGTATGTTCTTCCAGGCGACGCTTTCCGCTGCTACTCCGCGGAAGAAACCGATGATTCTACTCCAGTGACTCCATCGTCGCCACCGCCAGGAGCTGGGAACCCGTAGGCCAAGGATGGCGGCGATGGATTAGTTCTTTCTTCCTTCGCGGGAGATATTTTGTTCATACGTAGTCAAATCGATATATTCAAAGCATAATCAATTTGATACCGTTTCCTCGGACTACGAAAGCTATACACTTCGCTTACCTGTTGGAAAAAAGAAGAGCGAAGCTGGTGCCAAGGAAATGGACGAAGAAGCAAATGTGAAACGAAAAATGAGATGAGAGTTTTCTTTGTAAAGTTTGATGTCAATCGTTACCAAAGAACTTTGAAGCAAATTAGGCATGACGCTTCACTGTCCAGAATCATGATCTTCTGGAATCCTGCTTATGTCTTCAGCTCGTGCCTTGTCTAGGATGGATAAGAATGCCACAATCTTCAGACTAGTGCAGCCACCACCATTGCCAACTTCAAATGTACTAGAATTTGAAAGCCTTGCATCCAGAGGTGGCGAGGAAGGATTGGCCTGTATATGAAAATTCTAAATCATCCTACTGCATTGAAAATTATGCATAGATAATTCCTGATAGTGGTTCCTTGGTTATTCCCCTGTGTACAAAGGATATATATATGATCTTGATCTCTTGACCTCCACCGTGCTGCTTTCCACTAGCTTTCTCAAGTTGTAAATTAGTAGAATTTTGACGTGAGGCACGTAAAGAACTTGATCAAAGCAAAAGAATGAATTCAAAGCAGTCTTGTTTCATATTTCAAATTCAGGAACTATAACTAGACATTAAAATTTATTAGTATTAAGTGGTAATGAATATACCTAGAATGTATTTGGATATTTTAAATTATTCTACTATCTAGCATTTATTATTCATTTAGATTAATCTTGTATTTATAATTTACAAATATATTTATAATTTATATTTTCCTAAAAACAATAAACATATTTATAAACAATATTTTTATAAGTATATTTAGACCTAACAGTAGTCCAATTACTTTAAATTTAATAGGAAATTAACATTCAAGTAAGCTAATGCTACCATATCATTCTTTTGCATTTTTTGCTAAAATCCTAGTACTAGGATTAAAATATTATGAATATTTGGCAATGAGCAGCAGCGATGCCCATGGAGTAGCAAGGTGTGGTGCTAGCAAGCGTATAACAGTGGAAACTAAGTAAGAAATCAATCACTAGGCATTTCTAGCACATTTTAAAATTTGATAGGATCTTGTGAAAAGCTAAGCTGGACAATTGCTGTCATGGCAACAAGGGATCCAATGTAAAGGGAAATGGAGGCAAAAAAGATTGTGGCAAGGATGAGCTTGATAAATCACTGCAAAGAGAGTGTTTCTACCAAGAATTTGAGCACCCCAAGTATAGAAATGAAATGGCACACTATAATGGCTAGTGTGAACAAAACATCATTAAACTAGCTAATTTAATGGGAGTGTGAACCAGTTAGTATTATCCAAAGTTTTTATTACCAGAAAAGAATAGAAATGAATAAAGAAATTTATTCATTGTCAACTAGGCCAGATACTAGATACTGGTGGCACGGTATTAATCTCATCTCTTCACCCTCTTGTTGCTTCTCATGAGTTTCTCTAGCTCTGGCATAGATGGAGTAGAATCTAGATGGCATCTATATTGAAGTAGAAGGACACATTTGATTGTTGTGATCAAGCAGCTATCAAGAACTCAATCTAGCTTGACACCTAAAAGAGCTAGTGATGGTGGAAGGATTGCCAAAAGTGGATGGAATGCCTCAGCCTAAACTTTGATGGACTGGTGGACCAACTAGTCACCATAGTCCCCCTGGCTAGGATCAGCCTTGCATTTAAAGGCTGTTTAGTAGGCTCAGATAGGAACTCTTGCTTCCAAAACTATAGGCTGAAGACAGATGCCAGTCACACCCAGAGATGCCCGCCTCTGCCCCTTGTGCAAGATAGGAACAAAGACGCTGTTGCATGTCATATATGCAACTACAGCTCTAACTTCTTCTCCACACTGGACTTTCATGCCCATGACCTCCCAGCATTCATGGGAACACGACCATGGCAGCAATGACCAATCTTTTTCTACATGCCATGGAAGACCAGAGGACACTGTTCATTGAAGTAACATGTCTTCACTTTCAAAATAGAAACACCTAGCTTTTAACATTGGAGCCACAATATTTTATTCCTTCATAGTTTGTGCTCTTTTTTATTACATTTTCTACACTCTTTTGTCCTCCTTGCTCTTGTCATTTTATCCTCCTCCCTTGAAATTGATGCTGGTGTTGATGTTATTGCCATTGTTGTTCTGCATGCCTTGGTGAAAATCATCACCACTAACAGTAATCAACAACGATGATTCCCGGATGCAAGATCTTAGAGAGCTTGTCACTGATGAGTAGAGCTCTGGGGCACTACACTTGCATGGTGGACTTGCTAGGAAGATCGAACCAACTGGAGGATGCGATGGGATTGATTGTGTCCATGCCGTGGCAGCCGGATCTGCTGACTTGGATGACACTGCTGGGCTCGCGCAAGAAGTGGAGCAACTTGGACAGATCTAAACGCCCTCAAGTTGTCATTCTTAGGAGATGCTATCTTATTTCTTCTTCCTGCCCTTTGTATGCTTGGAGTCTAGCTCCCCTTGGAGAGATGAACACAAGTTGGCCTGACGTCAGTGGGACATGTTTACAGTTGACAAAGTGGTGTTGTTTATTAGCCATTTACTCAGAAGCACAGTTGAGTACTCTAGACTTCAAATTCTTGTGCTCATATGTGAAGCTTGTTGTGACCCAGTATGAGAGATTGAAGGCTCAACATACTTCCAGCTTTCCATAACTTCACATTAAAATCCTCTAGTTTAAAAGTTCTAAATGCAGTTACACAATAATTAAGAGAGTTTATTGTGAAACTCATTAGTAACTCTCAGGATCATTAAACAAAAGTGTAGTTTATTTTTATGCCGTATTAACTTTTCTTTTATAAATTTTAAACAAACCAAACATTATTACATGGAACATGTAGTCAGGATAATCACAGCAAATTATTTTATAACTAGGAATGTTAAAAACACATCTTACTCTTTATAAGCTTTGTTCGTCTCATTCTTGGTCTTGTAAGGAGACTCCTTATCGGCCGGGTAAATGGCATCAACATTTGCCCGTTTCAGGTTCGCATCATAGTCACTGAACCTCCAGAAGTATCCATCAACCAGCTGAGCCTCCTTTATGTTCTTGGCAGGAATTGCCCCCTTCACAGCCCACTCCTGCTGCCAGCTATACGTGTTAATCTCCTTCTGGAGCTTCTTCTCCTCCAGAAAGTCCGGAACATACACCATCTCCAGCCCAGCCGTGTTGATCGTGTACAGCCACCCAGTGCGCCTGTAGTACTTGATCTCGGGATGCGTCTTGTCTACAAAAGAATCCTCTGGGATCACTTGCTTCATAAACACTCCGGCCACTCTCCGAGTCTGAGTGGTGGCGATATAAGCCGTGTCGCTGAGATTCGGGCCGCCACGGACGTGAGCAAGGACATCTGTGTTCTTACCGGCGGCCTTGATCCCGTTCTTGAACACATCATCCACAGCCACCCTGGTGTCCCCTCTGTATATGAACTTCGGAGGCTGACGAGCCTTGGGCGGGGGCTCTGGCGTTCCGCGTCCGCCTGATGATTTCGGTGGTGCAGGAGCCGGCGCAGCGGGCTTGGAAGGTGCTGGGGCAGAGCTCCTCGACGCCATTTCGATTCAGGAAAACAAACTATCAGAAGAAAGCAGAGATGTATGGGATTGCCTTGGCACCCGAGTTTTATACTGGTGGGACTGCCTTCAGAGCCATCTCTGTTACGTCATCTTTCCACTGTGCAAGAGACGCGTTCGGCTTGGAATGCCGTGTTCTATTTAGCTTCCATCTCTGACTTGCCAAAAATTGGTACACCTGAGCCGAGAAAACTGTATTATAATGCAAAGGTCGTACCTTTGGATGAGGACGGCCAATATGTTAGTCTTTGTCCAAGACTGACTCGACTGAAGCTCGCCGGTTTCAGTGCTCAGCTTCCTCAAATCATTCCCTCTAATGGATCGAGTTAGTATCTGATTAAATGAGTGTTGCCAGCTTCGAAGCACATTTCAATCCAGAGATGAATGTAGTGCCCTGTTCTCGACTTCGTCAGGCCGGTTTCAGTATTAGATTGAACAATATATATCAGTTAGCGAGTCAAGCACGGCACCACCAGGATGGTCGCCTGTGACACACGTAGTACGAGGCAGAAGCTTCTACAAGAAAAAAAAAAAAGTCTTACAAAATTTTACTGCAGCGATCCCGCAAACCTCGGCTAGTAGAGCATTCTAAAATCCACCGCAAAAAAGATCTAAAGAACCTAGTGAGTCATTTGAGATTGTTTGTCCCATACCTGAACCAGTTAGCTCTTTCTTCCAATTCTCCGAAGTACCATTTTCACGCAATTTAACAGCTTTGATTGCAGCTGCGAAGCGAAGATACCGTGAACCATAAGCCTTCAAAGCCGCAAATCGCTTTGTCTCAATGCCACCTATAGCTCACGGCAGGAATGCTTCTTAGTTTTGGGTGGAAAATCCCCAAAAAAGAAGGCTGGCTCAATCATGCTTGCTACACAATCCAAAGCCCTGGATCTCACTAGCCCCAAAACGTTTTCCGTGTTACAGTTCCAACAAAGATTCGTTTTTTCTTATTCCTTTGCGCGTGATCCAAGTTTGTTCAAAGGTAGTCAAATCGATTTCTTGTGATTGGAAATCCGGAATGATCATATCTACACTGGTTCTCTTACTTTGATAAAGAGTCTCGGACTCTCGAGAAAAACTTTTCACTCTCGGACTATATAATCGAAGTACTCCTCGCTAAATCTCTCTCTCTCATCCAAAGCGAGAGAGAAAGAGGCTCTTGGATCGATCAGCACTGCATGAGCAGCCTCACCTCCTGGATGCACTGCTTCCGCCTCTCCTCGGACGCCTCCTTCCCCAACGCGATCTGCGCGTACGCCCGCTTCTTCTCCTGCATTTGCAGCAGCCTCTCCTCGATGCTGTCCGTCGCAACCAGCCGGAACACATGAACGTCCCTCGTCTGTCCCAGCCTGTGCACCCGATCCATTGCCTGTTCTTCCGCCGCCGGGTTCCACCACGGATCCAGCATGACGACGTTGGACGCGCTCACCAGGTTGAGCCCAACACCCGCGGCTTTCAAGCTGAGCAGGAACACCGTCGGCGAATCCTTGCTCCTCGACTTGAACGCCTCCATGGCCTCGTCTCTCTTCTTGGCGCTCATGCCGCCCTGGAGCTTGACGAACTTGTAGCCAGCCTGTGTGAGCGGAGCTTCCGCCAGCTTGAGCATGGACGAGAACTGCGAGAAGACCACCGTCTTGATGCTCGGGTCTTTGGCTCGCGTCTTGTCCAGGATGGATAGCAGTGCTGTGATCTTGGCGCTGCTACCACCACCACCGCCATCGCCATCGTTGCCAGCTTCTTCTTGCTCCTTGCCAACGTTGGACGTGTAGATGTCCGAGATGGTTAAGTCACCCCGGCACATCGGGCACTGGCGTTTGTCTCGCTCGAGAGTCTTCTCGATACATCTCCGGCAGAAGACGTGAGCGCAGCGAGTGATGATCGCGGTGACCGGCGGCGAGAGGCAGATCGGGCAGTCGAAGTCGTCGCCGATCATCGCCAGCATCTTCTGGAGGAGCTCTGGACTAGCGATTTGTCCTGCGCAGCTCAAGAACACAAAGACTAGTGAGACGAGAAGAGGCAAGCAAGAAAAATGAGAACTTTACCTTGATTCTCAGCTCCTAGTGCCGCTAGAACATCCATGGATCCCGGACACATGCTGGAATGGTCGCACAGCTGCCGGAGCCGCAAGATGATCTGGAGAACGATTGCGTAGTTCTTAGTCATGGTGCCGTTTGCGATGTACTTGAGGATGATATCCTTGCCGTCTCGCTCCATCTTGTCGTAGATCGCGCGGTCATTGGGAGTGAGATCCACTGGAAACACCGTGACAATCTTTGGAGGTAAGTCCACCAGCTTTTTCCCGTTCACTCTCGTCTCTTTGGTTCGTCGCAGCGAGATGGCGGACATCAATCCCTGGAAAGTTCCACGAGTTAAAACCAGAGAAAAAGACCAACTTGCGAGAAGCTTACCTGTGACCGGGCAAAACCAGCCGGCTGGCCACTCGTGAGCGGTCTCTGAATGGTTCTATTCCAGAAGGTCCGCTCGCTGAGAGGCTCGAAGTGGAGGAACTGCATGAGACTGAAGAGATCCTTGGCGTTGTTCTGTATTGGAGTGCCAGTCACGGCCCATCGCCGATCGGCATTGAGCGAGATCGCACACTTGGTCTGCTGCGCCTTTGGATTCTTCACGAGGTGTGCTTCGTCCAAAACGAGCCTCAGCCAGTGGACTTTCCGCAGCGCCGAGTTCCTGTCGTTCCACTCGCTGGCCAGCATGTTGTAAGTCGTGAAAACCAGATCGTGGCTCGCGAGCTTCTTCGCGTTTTTTATCCGGTCGGGGCCGTGGAAGACGCACACGTTGAGACTCCCGGCTCGAGTGTGATCTTCCAGCTGCCCGATCCAGTTGCTCAGCACGGAGAGTGGACACACCACCAAAGTCGCGAGAGGGCCGCCAGCTTTCGGGACGCACGGTGGAGGAGGATGATCGTCACTGCCGGAGTCACTGGCTTTCTTATCCCTGCCTTTGCTTCTCTCGGTGGTCTTTCTCTTCTTCGCAGCCGGTTGTTCTTCCAGCTCTTCGAGCTCCTCGGCGATGTCTACCACCGGCGGGAGCACAGCTCCAGGCCTGTTGGTGGCGACGAGAGCGAGCACCGCGAGCGTCTTCCCGAGTCCCATATCATCGGCTAGAATCCCTCCTCGCAGCGGCTCCGGACGCTTGTCACACGTAAAGTTCGTCAGCGTGTTCATGTACATGGTCGTCGTGTTGCTTCCTTTCGGCGGCTGGATCTCCCAGAAAGGTGGCAGCGCCGAGCTGTTCTCCCGCTGGATCATCCAAGCCAGCGCCTCCTTCTGGTGCTGCATTAGCTCCGACTTCACAATGCTCGAGTCGGGCTCCATGGCCTGCCGCTTCTTGCAGTCGAGCGCGAGATCTTCGAAGATATCATCGATGCTGGGCTTCTTTGGAGCGGAGGAAGCAGCGCCAGCGAGAACCTTTCGCTTGCTCGTCTTGCTCGAGGCTCTTCCACCGCCGCCACCTTCATGAGCTCCCTCCTCGAGGAGGCCTCCACTCAAACGCTCGCCAAAGTAGTCGAGGTGATCGACCACGGCGGGGGCCAAGGCGGGCTTGCTAAAGACGTGGACCTGGCACGGCATCCTGTACGCGTTCTTGCTGCCGCTGGGAACGATGCCCTCGAGAAAGGCGAGGTTTTGATCCACCAGCGGTGCCAAATGCATTGCCTTGTTCTTCTCGACATGGCCGACCTGGTCGCCCCGGATGTTGAGCACCCGGATGGCGTTGGAGTCGTATGGATTGGTGGGCTCTCGGACAAGCTGGACCATCTCGCCGTTGGTCACCGTGCCGTGGTAGTACCGCAGACCCACAACGTTAACCGTGAGACAACCCACCAGGATCGCTTCCGCCTCCTCCTCCTCCTCCTCCTCGCCGGAGTCGTCCTCCACTTCCACCACTTCCTGTGAAGCGCTCATCCTGTTCTTAAGAAAGAGCTAGGGCACTTGAATAATAAATAAAAGATTTAGTGCAGATCTTGTTAAATTAAACATTCTTATAGAATTATTATTATTTAGATTTTAAAGATGCAAGTAACTTTCTAGTCTAATTATAATTGAAAAATAAGTCGTCCATTGAGCTTGAGATGCTCCAACTTAAAAAAACTTCCACTTGCAATAACAGAATATTCTGGCAATCCTAGAAACTATTATAATAATAAATGGCATTTTCAACGATAGTTTGGTTTGTAACAAACTGGTTTATATACCTGTCTTGGAACTCTCCTCTTTTACCAAATGGAGAGCCCAGAGCTAAAGGCTTCGTTTCTAAGCCGCTTGACATGGCACTGGATGGGAGCCATGATCTCCACAGGGAACAAGCGTCCCTTGGAGGTAGTGTTAAACTCACCAATCTTGCCAAAATTTGTGTCTCTCTGTCTCCTAGATGAGCGATTTGTATGAGCTTAATCAAGAGGATAAGGCAGAATCTTGCGAGCAAAGATGGAACGAATGCTACGAGAAAGAGGGGAGCAAAAGAGTGTTGCGAGTGATCTTGAGGTTCCTGGGAGTGAAGTTCTTCCTCTTGTTTATCTTGCGCCCTTTGTGGCTGGCAGCGCTCATCTTGCAGGTTTTTGAGCAGTAAGCTCTTGGGACCTTTGTAACTTACACCGATCTCTCACAGGTTTATGTTATTAAGGAGCTCATTCATCGCTCCAGACTCAAGAGCTCCAGAACATGGAGTGATTTCCTCCTCGTTGCCGGACTGTTCTTCCTGGCACAATCCCAGAGCTTATGCAACATCTGGATGTTCTTCTATGGCTGGAGATATGGCGTTCGCTTGCGTGCTGCTTTTTCCATGGCTGCTTTCAACAAGGTCTTTGTGCATAATACTCTTTTGCTTCTCTGTTATATTAACTTTTTGTGATTTATGGAGATGTTGAGCACAAGAACGGCTGAATTTAATGGATCCTTCGATAGCTTGCTGTTTAATCTTGTCAACAGTGATACCCAAAAGCTGATTGATTGCTTGTGTATACTTCCTTATGGTATGATATGTATTTGCAATCGCTTTGCTCTAAACCATTGTGGGACTTGCAGTGGTTTGCTTTCCATTCCATTTGCTTGTTGTGAGTTTTTTCTTATATCGAGAAGCAGGCATTGCCACACTTGCTGGAGTAGCTTGGACGGTTGTGGTGGGGATATTAATGGTAATAAGAATTCCTGATTTTTTTTCCAAATTGCTTACATCATTATTATATTAGTCCTATGTGGCGAAGTATATGGGGCACTTGGCAAGAAGAAAGCATTCTTCCACTGATGCTCGGGTGGGAATCCTTTGTGAAACTTTGGCTGGCATTAGAATTATCAAGTTCAATGGTTGGGTTCCTTTGTTTATGAAAAAAATCAATAGTGCTCGTGCTGGTGAAATGAAGTGGGTTTCCAAGTTGGCTATGATCAGTACAATCATGTATATTTTGAAGGTATGTTTTAGTTTCTCAAGATTCTAATTATCATTCTCTAATATTGTTGCAGGATTCAATTGTTCCATTTGCATGCATATTTGCTTTTGGTGCTTATATCATTCATCATAAAATGCTTGATGTGACAATAGCTTTTGTTGTCCTATCTTTCTTCAGTATTCTTGCAAGGGATAACATATGTTTCATTAATGGTATGGTTTCTATAAAACAAAACATCTCACTGAATGAAAAAATTTGATTTGCAATTGAAAGGTTTGCCATCAATTTCTAATGCACTAGTAGCTGTGGAGAGACTACAAAAGGTGTTGGACTTGACAAATAGTTTGCAAACATCCAAGTCAAAGGTATGTGCTTAATTTTTTTATATTTATTCTGAATAGTTTATTAATTCATAATAATTTATTTCTAGAAAACCTCAAACATATTTGCTATTGAGCTTTTGGACTGTAATTTTGCTAGAAACATTTCCAAAAGCATTAATCCCAAGCCCATACACATGCAAATTCAGAGGGGTATTCTTGCTGGCTTGATCGGTAAAGTGGGAAGTGGTAAGAGTTCTTTGCTATATGGAATTTTAGAAGAACTAAAGGTTGGTTAATTGATGTTGTTTTATAATTTTGGAAGGTAATAATTGACTTTGCAGCTAACTCAAGGTTCATTATTTGTGGAAGGAAATATAGCTTATTCCCCACAACAGCCTTGGATATTAAATGATACAATGCGAAATAATATTGTCTTTGGCAGCATATTTGATAATAAACGCTATGATAATGTAGTGGCTGCTTGTGCACTTAATCATGACATTTCAATGCTACCTAATGGGAGTGACACTGAAATTGTAAGTTATATGTTATTTATATTCCTAATTTATATTGTGATTTAAAAAGGGGGAAAGAGGGGTAAATTTAAGTGGCGGACAAAAGGCTAGAGTATCTCTTGCTCGTGCATGTTATAGTACTGCTCCTATTATTCTTTTGGATGATCCTTTATCTGCTGTTGATGCTTCAACAGCTAAATACATCGTTGATTATGTACTAAATGGCATTTTAAAGGGAAGAACAGTAATTATGGCAACACATTCTATTATAAGCTTACAAGCTTGTGATGAAATTTATTTATTAGATACCAACAATGGTATTAAGCGCATCTTATCAAGTTCTAAAGATATAAAATGTGAGATGGAGTTGGTATCAGCTAAAACAGAATTAAATGCTAGTCAATATAGTAAGTTGGACAATTCAAAAGGAGGCATAGTGAAACAAGAGACAATGGAAAGTGGAAATATAAAACTCTCTCATTATTTAGAATATCTACACATAGCTGGTTGGTAAGTTTTTAAATTAATGATATAGATTTCTATTATATAAATGTACAGGTCAACTTTTTTAATAATTCCCATATTTATTTTGGGGCAAGGAGCACTTCTGATGGTAGACTATTGGATTCGAATTTGGACAGATAACAAGTATAGTATATCAAAATACACTTATTTGATACTCTTTACATGCCTTGGTATGTTTGCGATCATTATTTCTATTTTGAAGTGTATTATTTTCAACCAAGCATATCTAACTTCTTCAAAGAATATGCATAAGTTAATGGTTGAAAAAGTGTTCCGTTCACCTCTTTTATTTTTTGACCAAGTAAGTATCTAGGTTCATAGCTAAACTAAAGGATAAATTTATATTCAGAATCCAATTGGAAGACTTTTAAATCGCTATAGTAAGGATCAAGCTATAGCAGATGAAACTTTACCATCACTAATCAAGGTTTGATTGCATTATTAATATTTAAATTAACTAAAACTATATTTTATAGCGAGCACTCGAAGGCATTTATGGTTCTATTGGTGGACTAGTACTAATTGGAATTCTAATACCATGGTTTTTGCTTACAATTCCACTTGCATTGGCCATACTTATTTATGTCAGACAACAATATATTTCTACAGGCAGTGCACTTAAAAGGTTGGATGCTATTTCTCAGTCACCAATATTTACACATTTTACAGAAACACTACAGGTAAAATTGAGTATTTTTTATTTTAAAATTAATATTAACAATGTTTTATTCAAAAGGGAGCGGTTTCTATCAGAGCATATAATAATCAAAAACGGTTTCATGACCAGCTTGTTAAATTGGTGGACAACAATCATAAAGCTTATATTTTATATGTTCATGCATCAAGATGGCTCTCTACAAGGTTGGACTTTGTAACTACAATATCTATCACAGTTGCAGCATTTCTTGTTGTTTTCTTAAGGAATTATATTTCTCCTGGGCTCACAGGTAAAAGTATCAGCCTGATAGCTTTTTTTGAATATCAGTTCTACAACTGCTAATGCTTTGTTTAATAATCAGGTGTTATACTTGTACAAACCTTAAAGCTTACTGATGTCCTCCAGATTGCAATCAAATGGACAGTTGAAGCAGAAAGCGTGTTTGTAAGTGTGGAGAGAATTCTAGAATATTGTCATTTATCTACAGAGGCCACAAATAAATCTGAGCCAAGGATTCTTTCAAGCAATTGGCCTGCTGCGGGGTCTATTGAGTTTATCAACTACACATTAGCATACAGGGAAGATCTTCCAGCAGTTTTGAATAACATATCATTTAAGGTAATAATTAATATTGTGTAGTTTGAAATTAACTATTTTATCCAAAAGATCTTCCCATTAGAAAAAATAGGAATTGTGGGAAGAACTGGTGCCGGAAAGTCAAGCTTGGCTGCAGCTATGTTCAGAATGGTTGAGAACATGGCTTGTAGTGGAACAATACTTGTGGATGATATTGACATCAAGACCATTGAACTGGATGATTTGAGACAAAGATTGTCAATAATCCCACAGGTAAGCTTTCAATATAATTCAAATGTCAATGCCTTAGAAGTGTTCACAATGAGCAGGATCCTGTTCTTTTCTCTGGCACATTAAGATTTAACATGGATCCATTTGGAAAGAACGATGATAGAGAAATTCATGAAGCACTGACAAGAGCGCATTTCTCCAGCACACAGTCGTATAAGAACTTTGACAACGGCTTAGATGGTCAGATTACAAGTTCTGGAACAAACTTTAGCGTTGGAGAAAGGCAGCTTCTTTGCCTTGCAAGAAGTTTGCTAAGAAAGTAAGATTGTATTGATTCTACTTCTCAACTGATCATAGCTTATTCTTGCAGGTCCAAAATCCTTATTATGGACGAAGCAACTGCAGCAGTAGACAATGACACAGACCAAATCATTCAAGCAACTATTCGAGCCTCTTTCCAGGATTGCACCGTTCTAACAGTTGCCCATCGCATCCAAACAATTATTGACAATGATCGTGTCTTAGTGATGGAAGCTGGACGCATTGCAGAGTTTGATACCCCCAAGAACCTCCTCAAATTAACAGGCAAGTTATACTCGACGCTATTATGGTTTTAGAATCTTATGTTATGTTTCTTAGATGGACTTTTCTTCAACATGGTCGCTCAGCAAGGTTAATATGAGATCTATTTCTTTTAAAATGTCTTATCCAGAAGAGTATAATAAAAGATCACTGTAAAAACTACTATTCAAGCTGGTAGTTTAGTAGATGATACTTTATTATTCAAGTTCACGGTTTTTTTCTAAATTATGCAAGAATACTAACATACCACGAAATTTAATTTAACAAGAGAGTGCTCAATCTTGACTACATTTTTACCCCTTCCGATACGTGCACACCTGCGCCACCTCCTGCGCTACCAAGTGATCGCTCCACGCCCATATTGACACCAATGCGCAGCTCATCGGACTGGCATTCTCGCCATTTCTGGCTCTGATGTAAGTGCTGGCAAAACAGCCGAGCTCAATCTTTTCATCCTGGAAGTTCCTTTGTGTTCTTCATCGTTTTTCCTTTTCTTATTTCTAAACTACTCCAGCTTCATGACTGAGGTGAAGATCAAGAGCATTTGCGTCTTCAGAGGCACTGATGGCAGTCCATCCAAAGAAGCGTTTTCAGTCTTTTTCTCTTCGCTGGGTTTTGCTTAGTGCTGGCTTTGCAGGTTTATAAACCGCCAGCTCTTCTGGAAGATGGCATCAAACTGTTTGTGTACGCAGGCAAATACGATCTCATTTGCAATTGGCTGGTAAGTTCGTGGATAAGTTCGTTTTTAAATGCAGGAAACTCTGGATTGATCTGACCAGCAATCTTACGTGGAGGCGAACGTTTAGAAGTTCTCTAGAATTCTTTGTCGTGGAATTTTATGTATAAGAACTATAATTACATTTGGGTATTGTGTCGTAGCCCTTTTCCCATTGCTCTTGGATCATCAGGAGACTTCAAGGTTTCAACTTCACGGTTTGTTTCTTCAGTTTAAGTGCTCGAATCTCAAGCACCGGAAGCACAAAAGCGTGATAGATGTGGAGTTTGATTCAATGGACATAGCTTTGCACTACCGTGGAGTCGAGCTCGCCGTCCAGCAGTTTCGATTCCCCAGCTTTGTGCTTAGCACACTGTTTTGGCGACAAGGAGGATCGTGGTGAACGAGACGAGCCTAAGTTGGTGCTTAAAGTGGATGTTGAATCGGGCAAAGTTCCACTCTTGGCGGCAATCCAAGTGGTTTGGAGGAGACATGTTATAAGCTGTGACTTTGGTGAAACCAATGCGCAAGATATTGTGTTTGATGGCCAACCTTTATTCATAACCTTATAGGTGCCCTAGTTATGCATGATAAATATTGAGCTAAACATAGTTAATATCCTTATACTAGAATATTACCTAGAATATTTACTACACGTGGACCTGTCGCGAATGCAGGATAACCTTGGCTACATTTTCTAGGGCTTCCGCTAGAAATAGCGCGTCGTGCACACCATTGGTCACCGTGCCATGGTAGTACTGCAGACCCACAACATTAACCATGAGACAAGCCACTAGGATCGCTTCCGCCTCCTCCTCCTCCTGGCCAGAGTCGTCCTCCACTTCCACCACTTCCACTTCCTGTGAAGTGCTCATCCTGTTCTTAAGAAAGAACTAGGGCACATGAATAATAATAATAATAATAATAAACAAAAGATTTAGTGCAAATCCTGTCGTGAGTGCATGGAATATGGAAAGGGAATATAGAAATGTGCATATCAATTAGCCCAAAAACCCTATCTTATATACAGGAATGAGTGATCCGAATTGAAACCAATCCGACGGCTACCAAAATCCCACTACGCTAATATTAGTATATGACATCGTAGCCGTACACTTGGCCCTCACATCATCCCCTTTTCTCGGAATAATGGAAGGCCATCAAGGTTCTCTTATAGACAGGCTGGGATCTGGAGGAACGTTAGGAGGAGGCAACGGTGGATCTGTAGATGGTATTAATTGCTTCTGATCCCTCTGTATGAAGCGTTTCAACCGCTGTACATGCACTATCTCTGGTGGATCGGTTTGTTGGACGTCATGCTGAACCTCATAAACTTGTGGTCCAACTTGCCGCAACACCCGATATGGTCCTTTCCACAGCGCAAGGAGTCCCTTAAATAAACAACGTACCGTAAGATGGGGAAAACAGATTAACACCAAATCATCCACTTTGTACTCCGTAGGTGGACAATGATGGGAGTTGTAGCGCCGTTGTTGTCCCACTTGTATGCGGCCTAAATGTTCAGTAGACTCTGCTCGGATAAGTGGAAGAATGTTTGTCAAATATTGATCCCATGACCTAGCATCAGGAGTTCATGGCAATCACGAAGGTAAACCCAACTTTGTTGGTAATATTGGATCATGACCATATAAGAGTTTATATGGTGAAGCACCAACAAAACTCTACACCCCTGTGACATAGGCATACCGAAGAGACGGCAAATAACCATCTCAATCCAAATGCTAAAAGTTCATATACCTTGCAATCATCCCTTTGAATGTCCGAACGAGCCGTTCTACCAAACCGTCTAATTATGGATGATAAGCACTCATGAAAGTGTGGCGTATCCCCAACCGAGATGTCAAAACATGAAATGCCTCAGCCATAAATGCAGGACCATTATCCGAAAGAATCTGCTCTGGACAAGAATGCTGGAACACCACTCGATTAAGAAGGAAGTATCCAACAGTAGTTGCCAAGGCACTAGCAAAAGCACCAACTTCCACCCAACGAGTTAAGTAGTCATAAGCAATAATAACATACTCATTACCAGCAGTCGACCGTGGAAAAGGTCCCATAAGATCAAATGCCACCAACTCAAATGGACAGGAAACTGCAATTGACTCCAACCGTCCTTCCGCAGCACAAGGGGGAGTATTACGAGTTTGGCACCAAACGCAGCTATGCATATACTAGATAATATCACGTCGCATCTCCGGCCAATAGAAAGACCTGTGTAGCTTCTCGGTCACAGGATGATGTCCTATATGCCCACATAGAACAGAAGAATTATGGTAGGTATGGAGAAACCGTGGAATAAATATAGAAGGCACCACCAACCATAAATGATCATCAGGATCCGTCCCCACAAAATAAAAAAGGCCATTTTCAAGACGATATTGAGAATGTAAATGCCGAAAAGGCAAGTCATTAACAAATGATGCAGGATTCTCAAATGCATCTCGAAGCCTTCAAATCCACGGCTCAATCTTTTGAGCCTCACGAACTTCATCAAGAGAAGGTAGATCATGCTCTGCGCCTTGTGGACACTGAATGTCAAGTACAGCAACTGCCGACGGCACAAAATCCTCGTCTAGAAAATCCACAGATGCTGGAATAACAAGTTCATCAAAAACATGAGAAGAGAGTGGAGAAGGAAGAGGAGCTTGAGAAAGGGCATTAGCATCAGCAATAAAACTCCCTAGGCGATGAACAACATCAAAATTATATATCTGAAGCTTTAAAGCCCACCGAGCAATATGACCAACCATGTTCTTTCGCTTCAATAATGAAGTAACAGTAGCATGGTCACCTTCAAGTAACGTTTGAGAACTATGTAGATATGCATGAAGTTTCTCGAAACCCCAAATTGCCACTAAACACTCCTTCTCTGTCGTGGAGTAGTTCATCTCTGCTGGTTGTAATGTACGGCTTATATATGCAATGGGATGACGCTGACCAGGCACATTCGGGCTTTCTTGCATCAACACACCTCCAAGACCAATATCAGAAGCATCGACGCGCAAAATAAAAAGTCAAGTGTAGTCAGGATATGCCAAAACTGGAGGAGTCATTAACAGCTCTTTTGAGATCCACAAACACCCACTCACAATCTGAAGACCAGATGAAAGATGACGTTGATGACTTCAGCAACACTCACAACGGTGTAGTGCGATCAGAAAGATGATCCACAAAACGACCGAGATACTGCACCTTGCCCAAGAAGTGCTGCACATCATTTACACACTTCGGAGTAGGAAACTTTAGAACGGCTAGAAGTTTGTCAGGATCAACTTGCAAACCTTCGCGACAAATATGGTACCCAAAATAAGTTGTGTCCTTGGACCCAAACACGCACTTCGACCGCTTCAACTTTAAACTAATGTCCCGTAGCCGATCCAACACTTTACACACATCACGAATGTGCTTTTCCCACGTCCCTTCCGAGTGAATCAAGACATCATCAATGAAGTTAGTAGTCACCTCGGGCATATCATAAAGAACTTCGTCCATCATCCGTTGGAAAATTGCTGGAGCATTGTTCAAACCAAATGGCATCACCAAGAACTCGTACAAACCAAACGGTGTACGAAAAGCAGTCTTAGGAATATCTTCTTTGGCCATCGGTACTTGCTAGTACCCAGAAGCAAGATCTAGCTTGATGAACCAACGACTTTGCCCTAGACGATCCAAGAGATCAGCAATGTGAGGAAGAGGGTACACATCCGGGATCGTCACTTCATTTAACGGATGATAGTCAATGCAGAAACAAATACTCCCATTGGGCTTCATCACAAGATGAAGTTCACATGCCCAAGGACTCCGCGACTTCTGAATAACACCCTTCTCCAACATCTCCTTGACGTTTGCATGTAAAATTTTGATCTCCTTGGGTGACCGACGACGAACAGGAACCTTGATTGGACGACCATCCCTGGTTGGAATTGGATGACGTGTGGCAATCTTGGCCCTAGACGATAGGTCAAATTCAAATAAATCAGAATACTCCTTCATGAGCCGGTCAATAGCTGCAACACAAAGATCATTGGAGGGATCGGAAAAGGGAAGAGCAGAACAAAATGCAAATATAGGAGGAAATAGTGGGAGAACAAAAGTAATGGAAGTAGAGGTAGAAGTAAAGGGACGAAGAGGTACGGAAGTGAGAGGAATGGATGAAACATAAGAAAGTATGAGACAAGGGGGAGAAACCTCAAAGTCATATTTGGCATGATTGCGCTGCAACCAATCCATACCAAGAATGAGGTCAAAAGCTTGACTCGGCACTACCCACAACAACTGCAACTCAAGCTCAAAATCGCCTACACGCACAACCAGGTCCGCCTCATCTCATGCATATGCATGTGTATGGCCGTTGCCATAAAGAATGAAAATTGGATCTGCCGCACGACGCAAGTGTAAACAACAACGTGTGGCAACAGGTCAAGCAATAGAAGATAAACTCGAACCTATATCAACTAACACGGAGAGAATAATAGGAAACCTCTTGTTATAAAAATAAGCTTGGAAAGTAAGCATTGGATGAACCAGTGCCGAGTGAACCCTTTGATGGTACTCCCGAAAGAAAGATGGAGGGGTCATTAACTTATTCGCACAAGGTCCCTTCGTTACTTGCGCAACTCCTCGTTTCCCGGATGCACCTCGGTGTCAAAACCTTCCACTGCAGCAACACCAACAGGACGTTGCTGACGCCAAGGTTTCCACCTAGGAAATGGAGGTCACCAATCCGGAAAGCGCCGACAACGCCGATAAGTATGACCAACTTCATCACACGCCCAGCAATGAACATCACGGCCACGACCACGTCCTCGCCCGTGTCCTTGGATTCGAGTAGCAGCAACATCAACCTCCATTGGAACAGGACCATCATTCATAGGAAGTGGAGCTGAAGGATGTGTAGCGAGAAGTGGAAGAGACAACGTCTCATAACGTTGTGCCAAGTGGCGAGCACTATCAAGGGTTGCAGGAGCAAGTGCATGCACAAGTCCGACAAGATTTTGACGAAGTGCTGGCCACAACATTCCTAGCTTGATCCGCTCCGATATATTGGGCTATTGGATGAAACAAAAAACTTCGGAAACGAACACCAAATTGCATCATCGACTCAGATGGCCTTGGCAAAGATGGTGCAATTGTTGGAAGGCATCATCACAGTCGTCGGCATGTCCGAAAACATGTTTGAAGATGTCCGAAAGAACACTCCAATCCCCACGAGTGGTTGCGCTCAATCCATTGTATCATTGCAATGCCGTCTCTTGGAGACACGTGGGGAACTCACGCAAACGTCGAGCATCATCCCAAAAATGATATGTGGCAATCACCGTAAAGTGATCGAACCAATAGTACACATCATCCCTAGGATTCCCACGAAAGAACTCCGGCCAAACGCGAGGATTGGCACCAAGAGCAGGAGGAGTTGGACCACGTGCCGTGAATGCCGCCATCAATTGAGTTTGGTTGTTCAATTGCAAGCGCATAGCATCAAGCAATTGAACCAACTGTTACTCTAGAGTCAAAGGAGGAGATTGCTAATCTGCCATAAAGATGAACGAAAAAGAAAGAGCAAAAGAAGAGAAATGACAAAAAGCTAGAAGGAAATGGTAGATCTAGACAATGCAAAAAGCTAGATCTAAACCAAAATCCTAAAAAGAAAGAACAAAAGAAAGGAAATGGAAAAAGCTAGATCTGGACGATACAAAAGCTAGATCTAAACAGAAATTCCAAATCCAAGCACTCCCCAGAGACAATCGAAGGTGCCCTTCATCTCCACCAATGTGAGTGCATAGAATATGGAAAGGGAATATAGAAATGTGCATATCAATTAGCCCAAAAACCCTAGTTTATATACAGGAATGAGTGGTCTGGATTAAAACCAATCCGACGACTACCAAAATCCCACTACGCTAATATTAGTATACGGCATCGTAGCTGTACACTTGGCCCTCACATTGTTAAATTAAACATTCTTATAAAATAATAATTATTTAGATTTTAAAAATGCAAGTAACTTTTTAATCTAATTATAATTAAAAATAAGGCCTGCATTAAGCTTGAGATGCTCCAACTTAAAAAACTTACAATAACAGAATTATTCTGGCAATCCTAGAAATTATTATAACATTTTCAACGATAGTTTGGTTTGTAACAAGTTTATGGCATCCAACACAGGGATCTTTTACCAAATGGAGAGCCCAGAGCTAAAGGCTTCATTTCTAAGCCACTTGACATGGTAGTGGATGGGAGCCATGATCTTGATAGGGAACAAGCATCCTTTGGAGGTAGTCTTAAATTCACAAATCTTGCCAAAATTTGTGTCTGTCTGTCTACTAGATGAGTGATTTGTATGAGCTTAACCAAGAGGATAAGGCAGAATCTTGTGAACAAAGATGGAATGAATGCTATGAGAAAGAGGGGAGCAAAAGGGTGTTGCGAGTGATCTTGAGGTTCCTGGGAGTGAAGTTCTTCCTCTTGTTTACCTTGCGCCCTTTGTGGCTGGCAGCGCTCATTTTGCAGGTTTTTGAGCAGTAAGCTCTTGGGACCTTTGTAACTTACACCGATCTCTCCCAAGTTTATGTTATTAAGGAGCTCATCCATCGGTCCAGACCATTTTTGTTCCCGACCGCGTTTGGCCGAAATCCCGACTGCTGCCCGAACGCGGTCGGACAGCCCCGTTCGGTGATTCCGTTCGGGAATCGTGCTTGCAGGGGCTATATTAACGATGTTGCTGCGGCTAGGTTATCGCCATCGCCACTGCATCTCCACCGCTTTACTGTTCTCCTGACTAGAGAGTGTCGCCCTAGCTTGGTACGCACGCGGATTCGATGTAGGCTTGCTGTGGATGGATGGATCACTCCATAACAGCAGTCGGCCTCCGCTTTCGATTGAGCATGGAGCAGCTCGCTGAGGCCTCGCAAATCACCCAGTCCTCCACGACGCTTGAACTGTAATTTTGCCCTCAAATAGAAATTACAATTCTAGAGATTTGATTCTAGCGATTCTAGCAATTTTTCATGTTCAGAACCAAGCTTGCTAAATGTTTGTGGAGCAAATTGCAAATGCCCTTTTGTCTTTACCTTCTACAACAAATTTACAGAGTAGGCATTTTGATAAGGCATTTACTTCTGGAGCTGGTACACAAAGTATTAGTCAATTTTAGCTTATGAGTGCTTCTACAGGCCATGAAGGATCATCTGTTGGTTAAAAGTGAATGTGAAATGGCAACATTAAGGAAATGTTTGATGACAAAAAACATGAACTTAGATGATGCAATATCAAAGTTCATTTTCTTGAATGCCATACCATTTAATGTTGTGAAAAATTTATATTTTCATGCAATGATTGCCACTGTTTGTAGTGCCGGACCTAGTTTTATTAAAAATGTTTTTTTTTAATAAAAAAAACTTTGTGAACTGTTTGGCCGTTCGGCATTTTTTTAGCCGGTCAATAACCACGGTCGGGCGGTCGGCTGGTCGGCGTTCGGAACGGTCGGGACCAACCTTGATCCAGACTCAAGAGCTCCAAAACATGGAGTGATTTCCTCCTCGCTGCCGGACTGTTCTTCCTGGCACAATCCCAGAGCTTATGCAACATCTGGATGTCCTTCTATGGCTGGAGATATGGTGTTCGCTTGTGTGCTGCTTTTTCCATGGCTGCTTTCAACAAGGTCTTTGTGCATAATACTCTTTTGCTTCTCTGTTATATTAACATTTTGTGATTTATGGAGATGTTGAGCACAAGAACGGCTGAATTTAGTGGATCCTTGGATAGCTTGCTGTTTAATCTTGTCAACAGTGATACCCAAAAGCTGATTGATTTCTTGTGTATACTTCCTTATGGTATGATATGTAGTTGCAATTGCTTTGCTCTAAACCATTGTGGGACTTGCAGTGGTTTGCTTTCCATTCCATTTGCTTGTTGTGAGTTTTTTCTTATATCGAGAAGCAGGCATTACCACACTTGCTGGAGTAGCTTGGACGGTCGTGGTGGGGATATTAATGGTAATAAGAATTCCTGATTCTTTTTCCAAATTGCTTACATCATTATTATATTAGTCCTATGTGGCTAAGTATGTGGGGCACTTGGCAAGAAGAAAGCATTCTTACACTGATGCTCGAGTGGGAATCCTTTGTGAAACTTTGGCCGGCATTAGAATTATCAAGTTCAATGGTTGGATTCCTTTGTTTATGAAAAAAATCAATAATGCTCATGCTGGTGAAATGAAGTGGATTTCCAAGTTGGCTATGATCAGTACAATCATGTATATTTTGAAGGTATGTTTTAGTTTCTCAAGATTCTAATTATCATTCTCTATTATTGTTGCAGGATTCATTTGTTCCATTTGCATGCTTATTTGCTTTTGGTGCTTATATCTATCATCATAAAATGCTTGACATGACAATAGCTTTTGTTGTCCTATCTTTCTTCAGTATTCTTGCAAGGGATAGCATATATTTCATTTATGGTATGGTTTCTATAAAACAAAACATCTCACTGAATGAAAAAATCTGATTTGCAATTGAAAGGTTTGCCATCAATTTCTAATGCACTAGTAGCTGTGGAGAGACTACAAAAGGTGTTGGACTTGACAAATAGTTTGCAAACATCCAAGTCAAAGGTATGTGCTTAATTTTTTTATATTTATTCTGAATAGTTTATTAATTCAGAATAATTTATTTCTAGAAAACCTCAAACATATTTGCTATTGAGCTTTTGGACTGTAATTTTGCTAGAAACATTTCCAAAAGCATTAATCCCAAGCCCATACACATGCAAATTCAGAGGGGTATTCTTGCTGGCTTGATCGGTAAAGTGGGAAGTGGTAAGAGTTCTTTGCTATATGGAATTTTAGAAGAACTAAAGGTTGGTTAATTGATGTTGTTTTATAATTTTGGAAGGTAATAATTGACTTTGCAGCTAACTCAAGGTTCATTATTTGTGGAAGGAAATATAGCTTATTCCCCACAACAGCCTTGGATATTAAATGATACAATGCGAAATAATATTGTCTTTGGCAGCATATTTGATAATAAACGCTATGATAATGTAGTGGCTGCTTGTGCACTTAATCATGACATTTCAATGCTACCTAATGGGAGTGACACTGAAATTGTAAGTTATATGTTATTTATATTCCTAATTTATATTGTGATTTAAAAAGGGGGAAAGAGGGGTAAATTTAAGTGGCAGACAAAAGGCTAGAGTATCTCTTGCTCGTGCATGTTATAGTACTGCTCCTATTATTCTTTTGGATGATCCTTTATCTGCTGTTGATGCTTCAACAGCTAAATACATCGTTGATTATGTACTAAATGGCATTTTAAAGGGAAGAACAGTAATCATGGCAACACATTCTATTATAAGCTTACAAGCTTGTGATGAAATTTATTTATTAGATACCAACAATGGTATTAAGCGCATCTTATCAAGTTCTAAAGATATAAAACGTGAGATGGAGTTGGTATCAGCTAAAACAGAATTAAATGCTAGTCAATATAGTAAGTTGGACAATTCAAAAGGAGGCATAGTGAAACAAGAGACAATGGAAAGTGGAAATATAAAACTCTCTCATTATTTAGAATATCTACACATAGCTGGTTGGTAAGTTTTTAAATTAATGATATAGATTTCTATTATATAAATGTACAGGTCAACTTTTTTAATAATTCCCATATTTATTTTGGGGCAAGGAGCACTTCTGATGGTAGACTATTGGATTCGAATTTGGACAGATAACAAGTATAGTATATCAAAATACACTTATTTGATACTCTTTACGTGCCTTGGTATGTTTGCGATCATTATTTCTATTTTGAAGTGTATTATTTTCAACCAAGCATATCTAACTTCTTCAAAGAATATGCATAAGTTAATGGTTGAAAAAGTGTTCCGTTCACCTCTTTTATTTTTTGACCAAGTAAGTCCCTAGGTTCATAGCTAAACTAAAGGATAAATTTATATTCAGAATCCAATTGGAAAACTTTTAAATCGCTATAGTAAGGATCAAGCTATACCAGATGAAACTTTACCATCACAAATCAAGGTTTGATTGCATTATTAATATTTAAATTAACTTAAACTATATTTTATAGCAAGCACTCGAAGGCATTTATGCTTCTATTGTACTAATTGGAATTCTAATACCATGGTTTTTGCTTACAATTCCACTTGCGTTGGCCATACTTATTTATGTCAGACAACAATATATTTCTACAGGCAGTGCACTTAAAAGGTTGGATGCTATTTCTCAGTCACCAATATTTGCACATTTTACAGAAACACTACAGGTAAAATTGAGTATTTTTTATTTTAAAAATAATACTAACAATGTTTTATTCAAAAGGGAGCGGTTTCTATTAGAGCCTGATAGCTTTTTTTGAATATCAGCTCTACAACTGCTAATGCTTTGTTTAATAATCAAGTGTTATACTTGTACAAACCTTAAAGATTACTGATGTCCTCCAGATTGCAATCAAATGGACAGTTGAAGCAGAAAGCGTGTTTGTAAGTGTGGAGAGAATTCTAGAATATTGTCATTTATCTACAGAGGCCACAAATAAATCTGAGCCAAGGATTCTTTCAAGCAATTGGCCTGCTGCGGGGTCTATTGAGTTTATCAACTCCACATTAGCATACAGGGAAGATCTTCCAGCAGTTTTGAATAACATATCATTTAAGGTAATAATTATTATTGTGTAGTTTAAAATTAGCTATTTTTTCCAACAGATTTTCCCATTAGAAAAAATAGGAATTACTGGTGCCGGAAAGTCAAGCTTGGCTGCAGCTATGTTCAGAATGGTTGAGAACATGGCTTGTAGTGGAACAATACTTGTGGATGATATTGACATCAAGACCATTGGACTTGATGAATTGAGACAAAGATTGTCAATAATCCCACAGGTAAGCTTTCAATATAATTCAAATGTCAATGCCTTAGAAGTGTTCACAATGAGCAGGATCCTGTTCTTTTTTCTGGCACATTAAGATTTAACATGGATCCATTTGGAAAGAACGATGATAGAGAAATTCATGAAGCACTGACAAGAGCGCATTTCTCCAGCACACAGTCGTATAAGAACTTTGACAACGGCTTAGATGGTCAGATTACAAGTTCTGGAACAAACTTTAGCGTTGGAGAAAGGCAGCTTCTTTGCCTTGCAAGAAGTTTGCTAAGAAAGTAAGATTGTATTGATTCTACTTCTCAACTGATCATAGCTTATTTTTGCAGGTCCAAAATCCTTATTATGGACGAAGCAACTGCAGCAGTAGACAATGACACAGACCAAATCATTCAAGCAACTATTCGAGCCTCTTTCCAGGATTGCACCGTTCTAACAGTTGCCCATCGCATCCAAACAATTATTGACAATGATCGTGTCTTAGTGATGGAAGCTGGACGCATTGCAGAGTTTGATACCCCCAAGAATCTCCTCAAATTAACAGGCAAGTTATACTCGATTCTATTATGGTTTTAGAATCTTATGTTATGTTCCTTAGATGGATTTCTCTTCAACATGGTCGCTCATAATAAAGCAGCTAATGAAAAAGTTTAATATGAGATCTATTTCTTTTAAAATGTCTTATCCAGAAGAGTATAATAAAAGATCACTGTAAAAACTATATTTACATTTTGGGTTCTTCTTCTTCTTGCGAGGACTCCAAGATGTTCTGCATAACTCTCACAATCGGGATGGTGATGCTAGCCTTTTTCCTGCTCATCAATTATCACGAATGCGACTTCAAGGACATCAAGGTTTTACACGTGGAGCTCCCATCAAACTCAACTCCGCGGTTTGTTTCCAATCTAGAGCTTCAGTTTAACTGCTCGAACCTCAAGCTCAACCTCATCGAAAGCACGAACACATGCTGGACGTGAGGTTTGATGCAATGGACGTAATTTTGAAGTACCGTGGAGCCGAGCTCGCAGTCCAGCCATTTTCATTCCCCATCTTTGTGCTTGCGGAGAGCAGCACTGTTTTGGTGAAACGGGGGATCATGGTGAACGAGACGAGCCTTTCCGTGGATAAGTTGAAGCTGTTTAAAGCGGATGTTGAATCGGGCAAAGTTCCACTCTCGGCAGCAATCCTGTCAGTGCCCAGTGGATTGAAGACAGTTCATCCAGTAGCTCGGATTACTTGCAGGCTGATCTTACCTGTGACTTGGGCATGATTCTTCCACAGAAGGGTGAAACCAATGCGCAAGATATTATGGTCATCAGCTGTGCCCTGTACTGTCCCTATTCAAGCTGGTAGTAGATGATACTAAACTATGCAAGAATATACTAACATACCACGAAATTTAATTTAACACTTGACTACATTTTTACCCTGCGCGATCGAGTGGTCGCTCCACGCCCATATTGACACCAATGCGCAGCTCATCGGACTGGCATTCTCGCCTCGCGGTTGAGATTTCGGGCTCTGATGTAAGTGCTGGCAAAGGAGCCGAGCTCAATCTTTTCATCCTGTAAGTTCCTTTGTGTTCTTTGTCGTTTTTTCCTTTTTTTTAAATTTCTAAACTACTCCAGCTTCACGACTGACTTGAAGATCAAGAGCATTTGCGTCTTCGGAGGCACTGATGGCAGTCCATCCAAAATGAAAGCGTAAGTGTTTTCAGTCTTTTTCTCTCTGCTGGGTTTTGCTTAGTGCTGGCTTTCATTTGCAATTAGCTGGTAAGGTCGTGGATAAGTTCGTTTTTAAATGCAGGAAACTCTGGATTGATCCGACCAGCAATCTTACGTGGAGGCGAATGTTAGCGTAGATGGCCAGACGGCAGGCTTGGTCTCTGGCTATGGTCCCTTGACCTTCCTCCAGGTGTGTTTCTACCGTTTAGTAGAATTCTTTGTCGTGGAAGTTTATGTGTAAGAACTATAATTACATTTAGAAATGTGTCGTAGCCCTTTTCCCATTGTGTATGCTGGTTATTGCGCTCTCGGATCATCAGGAACGATGGTGCGACTTCAAGGTTTCAACTTCACGGTTTGTTTCTCCAGTTTAAGTGCTCGAATCTCAAGCACCGCAAGCACACGTGTACGTGGAGTTTGATTCAATGGACGCTACCGTGGAGTCGAGCTCGCCGCGCACTGTTTTGGCGGCAAGGAGGATCGTGGTGAACGAGACGGGCAAAGTTCCACTCTGGTTGGAGGAGACATGTTTTAAGCTGTGACTTGGGCATGACTCTTCCACACAGTGCGCAAGATATTGCCAGGCACTTTTACCACCTTTATTCATAACCTTATAGGTGCATGATAAATATTCAGCTAAATATCCTAATATACTATACTAGAATATTACCTAGAATATTTAGTACGCTGACTGACAAGTGGACCTGTCGCGAATGCTGGATAACCTTGGCTACATTTTCTAGGGCTTTTGCTAGCGATGGCGTCGTGCACACACCACCACCACTGCGCCGACCACTCCTGCGCTGCCGAGTGGTCGCTCCACGCCCACATTGACACCGCCAAGGTAAATGCGCAGCTCCGCGCCATCGATCGGGGCGCGGCATTCGATCGTCGCGTCTCGGGGTCGAGATTTTGGGCTCTGATGCGTGTGCCTCTAGGTCTGGGCGCTGAACGAGGCCTCTCCAGGCAGCTCCAAATCGGTCTTCAAGAGCTGGGATCAGCGACTGGATCTCTCGGTAAGTGCTGCCAAAGGAGCGTTCTTTTTACATTTTTTTTGGCTGTGTAGGGATCGCTGGAGAGCAATGAGGACGATCCCGAGCTCATTCTTTTCATCCCGTGAGTTTCTCTTTGTTCTTCTTTGTGAAGTGTTGTTCTTTCTTTCTTTCTTTCTAAAACAAAGAAAACTACTCCAGCTTCACCACTGACGTGAAGATCAAGAGCATTTGCGTCATCGGAGGCACTGATGGCAGCAGCCCATCCAAAATGAGAGCGTAAGTGTTTCGTTTTTTTTTTTTTCCTCTCTCTGCCGGGTTTTGCTTAGTGCTGGCTTTGCAGGTTCATAAACCGCGAGGACATCGACTTTTCGGATGCGAGGGAGCTCCTTCCCGTGCAGGTGTGCTCTGAGAAGTGTTACGCTTGTCTAGTATCTAAGCTCATCCTTTTTCTTTGCAGGAGTGGGATTTGGCTGAGAATCTCTACGGAGAACTGGAGTACCCAACAAGGTGACTTCAACTCTTTGGATTGATGCCTTTAAAACTCTTTCTCTCAGGTATCCCAAGTTCCAAGGCGTCGCCAATCTGACCCTGCATTTCCCGACCAACTTTGGCGGCACGAGCACGCGCATCCACTACGTTGGACTGAAAGGAGAATCTACCAAGGTTGAGTCGTGCTCCTTGTGGTATACTTACCTGATTTATGAGCTTGTACAGGTGAATCGGGATGCCGTGACTAATGCAGTCTACGAGGCATATCCAAATCTGTCAGAGCACCAGTAAGTCGGGGTTTTCACGCAAGAAATGCCGGTGACGATTTGTTTGTCTTGCAGGATCCCAGGTGGTACTGGAGCACCCGAAGTTTCGTAGCTTTTCGGAGGCGCTCTACTCCCCCCGAGTGATTTACTCGTTACGTTTCGCTCTATAAGGTGTTGTTAGCGCTAGAGCTGTACAGGGAAGCTTGGTTTTGGACGCCTTTTGAGACCGGAAATGATACCAAAGCCAGGAAAGTTTTTGGTACTTGAGTCTACTTTTAATTTTTTTTCTTTTGTCAACTCTTTCACAGGTACTGTCTTCTCTGTAAGCACAGGACCAGGACATCTGGTTCTCGTCTTTTTTAATCTCTTGACATGGTTATGACAACCCATGTTCGATCTCTGTTTAAAGTGGGTCTACAAACGCGCCAACTTTGCTGGGTGTAGAACAGGTAAGCTACACCTGGGATGTCCTTACTGCTCTATCGGGCAAGGTGATCGAAACATTTGGTAAATCCTGGACGGATGGCTTGGCTCGACAATTTCACTTTAGATCTTTGGTTTTCTAGCTAGCTGACAGGTACTAGGTGCGCAATGCCTCCTCGATTGAATGCTTGGCGCTATGAAACTATACCGAGAACAGAAACCGGGGTATTGGCTTGAAGCTTACAAGAGAAGCTAGTCCAGGCCGATGGCAGCTCCCCCAAAGAAGATAAATTAATATAAATGTACAATATTTATATGACACTAGAAAGTTAAGAAGATAAATCAAAACAGTAAAGAGAGGAATTTACAATGATAGATAAACAGTATAAATTAGAGAGTAAAAAATAGCAACAAACTTAATAAATAATATTAATCTTATAAAATATAATTAGTCCTAAAATTAGTAACAATATTAGCAAAAAGTCCTTTTCTAATCTTCCTTTTTATTTAAATGTATAATTAAATATTCTAGAATATACTATTTGAAATGAGTTTATCCTGTCTAGTGCACTTAAAACTAGATAAATAAATAAACTAATGGAAAACATAACTTTATTATTTCTAAATAAGAACAAAAGCCTCTGAAATTCTTTTCTTTTTTTTTCAAGTACTGCAACATCTATATAATTAAATGTTTCACATCACCCTACAAGAAAATAAAGTACAAAAGAGTAGTTTCAATTGAAGAACCCATGATGAATACATGATAGGAAAAACAATTGAGGGTGATAGTTTGTATGTATAAAGGGCACATTTAACTTCCAAAAGAAAGGAGAGACCCCACAACCCACCCAGGGCAGAGAACATTGAGTGCTGGTCTACCTAAAGTGAGGCAAAATACCCTTAGTTCAGCATGCTCAAATATTCTTTAGGTAAATTGTTTCCAAGTTTGTACCAGACTTCCAAAAAGAAGCCCCTTGTACAATTTACATTGTACATGAGATGGAGTATTGCAAGTTGGTGCATATGCATTTAGTTTATCCTTATGTTTTGTTCTTTTTGGAAAATTACATCTGGTTTTTATTTTCCCAAGTTGTGCACTACATTTGTTTTCTGATTTTGTTTTTTTTTTCCATTACTTTATTATTTTTGCAGGCATGTCATGTGCTCCTCTTAAAAGCTGGGCAGAATACTCTCTTTCCTGTTTTGCTTTGAAGGTCTTGGGAGTGTGATGTTGTAACCACCTTGCTTAGACCCGGCTTGCTTTCCTTTTTGCCCCCTCCAAACATTTTTATTAGACTAGCCAACAAAGGGGTATCTGTCTTTTGGATTTCAACTTGCAAAATGCCAAGCTCCACTGATTTAGTTGGAATATGATAGCCCACGAGGCACCATGAGGGAGTGAGGTAATTTTTAGGTCCCATGCTCCTCAATCGGGCACACGTGGACGGAAACAAGTTAGTCACCAAACAAGCTTTGTTATGGACTATATCTCAAAGTCTCTCCTTTAAGGAGAATACTCTGTTCTGGATCAAATCTCAAGGTCTCCTTAAGGATGAGAATGACGTTGTTTTCATCTTAGCAGCAGCAGCAGCTACCGTGTTTGAGATTGGATCCTTTTGGAAAGATCTCATTGAATTTGCTCTCTAATCACAGGTAAAGTGAATCAAATTCTACACATGGGGACAGATCGTGTCATTGAATGTGCTCTCTAATCACAGGTTAACTGAATGTAATCCTACACACGTCTCATGAGGAAAGGTTCAGCTTTTTCTTTGCTTTTGTCGAAATGGGTGACAGATCATGTCGTTCTTTACAAGATCAATGGTTATCAAGCCGAGAAAGTTAGAAAAAGATTAAATGGAAAGAGTTTTCAAATGTAGAAGTTGAGACGAATTGGAAAGCCCACTGATTGGAACAACACACTGAAAGAGAGAAAGGAAGAATCTATCAACATCCAAGGTATATGGTCAAGGACCTCACAATGGATGTGTAATATGTGTAGTTCTAACTGTATGGTTATGGATGACATGACACCCTCCAGCAAAAAAATAAAGTTTTCTAATTTTTTGGCTGACTTTTGCGATAGTAAAGGAGAAAAACACTAGTGGTGGCGGATGACTGCGGCGTAGTGCGGCAGGCCGCGGCATGCCGCGGCGACCGCTGCGGCAGAGCTCATTCCCTTATCCACGGAGAAGAGAGAAGAATGGAGTTTTCACACTGTGGCGCAATGAAAGAAAGACCCTCGCAGCTCTTTCTTTGGCTCTTTTGCTTCTCGGCTTTTCAGGGATTAGGGAAGGCATGTTGAGAGCGCGAATGCGGCGGCGCGCGCCATCGCTGCGGTTAGAGCGCTCCAGGGCGTAGACCGGGTAGGGAAACAGGGTTTCGATGCCGGCGCCAGGCGATCTTGGTGGTGTTTGGTCGGATCTAGCGATATTTCGGGGTGGAATCGGCTTCTTGGCTACCAGGTTCTCGGCAGTGGCCTCGCATTGCGGTCTGTGATGCTCCGGCGGGCCAGCAATCCAGATTAGGGGAAAGAGGAGAGGAAGGAATGCGCGGCGATGGAAGCGCCGGGAATGCTGAGCATTGGAAGGATCTGGAGTGACGAGGAGCGATAAGCGCAGCTCTCTTTATTCCACTGTTTGGGGAAAAGCTGTGGCATATTCGCGTAGATCTATATCGGCCGCCAGGAGCAATTTGGCCTGCGAGCTGGGGGACAAGGAGGACAATGACTCAACTCCAACGAACAGGATCGAGATAGGAACAATGTGTCAAGTTCCAGCCGCGAAGGAGATTTTCAGTCGCTCTTCGATGGATAGCTGCGGCAAACGGGGTGGCAAGGAATTGCCCAATGGGACCAGCTCCGCCACCACCAGCACCAGCACCAGCACGACCACGAACGCCACCGCCGCCGTGGCCAATCAAGGAAGGCTGGCTGTCAGGTGGTGGGTGCCTCCAGCGAGCACTCGCAGCTCGGGATCCAAGAGCAAAGGGCAGAAGATCGGTGAGAAGTGGTATGGAACGCTACTACTTTTGTGGCTGCTCGGGGGGATTTGCGTCTCCATCTGGGTGTACAGGTCCATGAACGCTGGGAACATCAGGCGCCACAGGGAGCTGCTTGACAACATGTGTGACGAGCGAGCGTGGATGCTCCAGGATCAATTCACGGCGAGTATGAACCACGTCAAGGCACTGGCTGCGCTCCTCCGGACATTTCATCTGGGAAAGCAGCCTTCGGTGCTCGACCAGGTTCGTTCTCTTTCATTTTTTTTTTCCTCCGCACTTTTTTCTCTAGCTTACTTCTTTTTTCCCTTTCTATAGGAGACATTTGCTGTCTACACGAAGCGGACGGAATTCGAGAGGCCGTTGATGACTGGGGTGGCGTATGCCCAGCGCCTGTTTCACTCGGAGCGGGAGGCCTTTGAGAGGCGCTATGGCTGGGAGATCAAGACAATGACAACAAAAAAAGTCCAGAGTCCCCAAGCAGAGTACGCGCCAGCCGTTTTTACGCAGAACAGCTTGTCCTATCTAGAGTCCCTCGACATGCTGTCCGGGAAGGCAAGTGCTCCCTTGTTTTGTTTTTAGCTTCTCACACGCGGAGCTGCAGGAAGACTGTGACAACATATTGCGGGCTAGATCATCCGGGAAAGGAGTTTTGACGACTCCAATGAGACTTCTCGAGTCTAACCACCTAGGCATCGTGGTGACTTTCACCGTCTATAAGGAGGATCTGCCCGAAGACGCTTCGGAGGAAGAACGAATTGCTGCAAGTGCCGGGTACTTCTGATTCGGATTGCTTTATAGCATGTGGTGTCTGATATACTTTACCATGCAGCTATGTCGGTGGTGCATTCGACTTCGAATTGCTAGTGACAAACTTGCTAAAGCAACTTGCCGGTAGTCAATCAATCATCGTGAATGTCTATGACGTGACGAACGAATCTAAGCCTCTACTTATGTATGGCCCCGATGCTTACTTGGAAGGGCGTGACGTCCATGTGACGGAACTAGACTTTCGGGATCCTGCAAGAAAGCATGAAATTCGCTGCAGGTAAAAGAGCTTACCATGGCTTTTCTACGGATTGACAGATGCTGTTACTTTTCAGGTTTCACAATCCCCTTCCGATTTCATGGTCGGCTATCACAACTTCAGTGGGAATATTGGTGATCGTGTTTTTGGTGGGTCATATATTGCACGCAGCAATAAATAGGATACAGAAAGTTGAGGAAGATTATCGACGTATGGAAGATTTGAAAGTACTGGCTGAGTCTGCTGATATTGCAAAATCTCAGGTATGATTATATGGCATCTATTTGACCTTATATTCATATGATGACACTTTTTTGTGAAGTTTTTGGCGACTGTTTCCCATGAAATTCGCACCCCAATGAATGGAGTACTAGGTATAGAATTAATTTTTTTATGTACATTTTTCTGAAGTTTTGGTGTACACAGGAATGCTTCAAATGCTTATGGATACAGACCTCGATCCAACACAACGCGACTATGCAGGAACAGCTCACGAAAGCGGGAAGCAGCTCATAAAGCTCATCAACGAGGTTTTGGACCAAGCCAAGATCGAATCTGGACGAATGGAACTCGAAATGGTTCCTTTCGATTTGAGGACCATTCTTGACGACATTCTTTGCTTGTTTTCAGCCGAAATCAAGGATAAGGGAATCGAGGTACGCAAGCTTTTTATTTTATATGACAGCCATCCTGAGGCCTTGTTTAATCCAAGTTGGCTGTCTTCGTTTCGGAAAAAGTACCTGACGTCCTGGTCGGAGATCCTGCTCGCCTACATCAAATTATTACCAACCTTGTTGGCAACTCCGTCAAGGTAAGGAATTTTTTGCGCCGTTTCTGCTGTAGTGATGGCTTCTATGTGCAGTTCACAGAACAGGGCCACATCTTTGTCTGCGTTCATATGGAAGACGAGTTGACCACAGTCTCCAAAGAGGAAGGATTCGACTCGTGCAATACGCTGAGTGGCGTGAAGGCTGCAGACCTCAGGCTTAGCTGGGACAGTTTTAAGAGTTTGGTTGGCGGGCTTGAGGATAGAAACTGTGGCGAGCTTACGGATGTCAGGATCGTGTTCAACGTTGAAGACACAGGGGTTGGGATTCCGCTTCTTGCACAGGATCGTGTTTTCACGCCGTTCATGCAAGCTGACAGTTCTACTTCGAGGAATTATGGTGGCACTGGGATAGGATTGAGCATAAGCAAGTGCTTGGTGGAGTTGATGCAAGGGAGCATGGACTTTGTCAGCCAACCTGGTATCGGAGCTACATTCAGATTCTCGGTAGTGTTCAAAAGAGGGGAAATGAAAATGCCGGAGGCCAGATACCCGCATATAAGTCCAAAGCATTCTCAGATGGCGCGGCTGACGCCGTGCTTGAAGAATATGCGGGCACTTGTTGTTGACGGGAGGCCTGTAAGGTCACAGATAACGAGATACCACTTGCAAAGACTGGGAATGCAAGTTGAAGTCGTAAATGATATACCGTCAGCTTTGTCTGGGGGTGCGAACTCAAGGTAAGATACTCGGTGGTTGTTTGCTTTTGTCCAAACACTGACGGATGCTCTTGTTTTGTAGAAGCCTTGATATGGTGCTTGTCGACAAAGACTCCTGGGGGCCGGGTTCCGGACTCGTGGTTCCTCAAAAGTTGAAGGACGCGGGAGGAAGGTTTAAGAATGCGAAGTTTATCCTACTTGCGGGTTCGGCGATTGATAACGAGCCTCTGAAAACTGCTCCGTCCGGCTTCATTGCTACACATCACAAACCTGTCCGAGCAAGCTCTTTTGCAACTTTCCTGGAGAAAGTTTTCGGCTTTGGCAGTAAAAGATTGAACGGCAGGGAGATTTCGCAGGGGTCGAGGTTGCACAGTCTCTTATCTGGGAAGCAGATATTAGTGGTTGATGACAATAAAGTCAACAGGCGAGTTGCTGCCGGTGCTCTCACCAAGTATGGTGCTCGCGTTGAATGTGTCGAGAGTGGCAAAGCAGCGATTGCAAGACTTCAGCCCTCCCACGAGTTTGATGCATGCTTTATGGACGTGCAAATGCCCGAGATGGACGGGTGGGTAGTATTTCATTTTCCTGTTTGTCGTAAATGACGTCTTGTGTCCTTTACTCTTGTGCAGCTTTGAAGCAACTAGAAAGATTCGGGAAGCTGAGGGACACGATTGCAAGTGTCGCCTCCCTATTCTGGCAATGACAGCGGACCTCATCCAGGCCACCCGGGACGAATGCACCAAGTGTGGTATGGATGGTTACGTATCGAAACCGTTTGAAGAGGAGCAGCTTTACAAGGCCGTCGCCAAGTACTTCGAGTCTTCGGCAAAACCGAATGCTCTCAAAGGCAAAAGCGAATGATCTCAAAGGGCCTTGAGGTGCAGCAGGCTTTGGAGAAAAGCTAATGATTTTGACGCCATACCGGGCGACAGGGTGGAGGTAAAAAGTGTGAGCACTCCCACTGGAATGAGTCTAATCGTTCGTTTACAGAATCTCCTCGGGTAGTTTCCTGCTCTGGAGCAGGATACTCGAAGCGATGACAACATCAAGGTGAAGTCTACGTAGGGATTTGTATATTCTATTGACGTGATTTCCAGTGCACAACCAAAGAACTGTAGGGAATGCACTGAGGCAGCAATTGCGCGAGTGTATATACTCCAATAACATACCGGTTTTGGCGTCTCAATTCTCGTCTAGTTCTACACAGGAAGTGGGCTTCAAAGCTGTCCGGGTACTCTGTACACCAAGACTCAAGTTTGACGACTCTACCTGACCCGCAAGCAACAGGTACCCTCCGCTACTGTGATCTAGAAAATACTTCGCAGCTTGAACAGCTTGAGAAACCTGACTCTAGCTCTTACAGGGTCCCAGCAAGCACGTCCATTCCAGAGCAGTGGGAACGATGGTGGAGAGAAGCTCTTGTGCATCACTCGGATGTCCGGCACGGCAGGAGTGGTCGAGCATGCAGCAGTAGTGGTGCTTGTTGGGCGACACTCCAAAGTCCACGCTCACTGACCCAAAATGGTCTCTGTCGTGAAGCAACATCCCTTCGTAACTACAGGCAACCAGAACAGAACTGAAGTTGATATCATCCGGCAGGTTGGCAACTTTGAGCTCGGCAAAGAGATCAAAAGCTTCGGTGGTGTGGCCATTTTGGGCGTAGGCAGCGAGCAGGGAATTCCAGGAACAGATACGAGGCTCGGGTGCCCAGCAGAAGTTCTGTGCAGCAAGGCCGAGGTGGCCGTTCCGAGCATCCGTCATGGCAGTCCACAAGACAAAAGTCTCCGGCATTGGAAGAAGCAGACGTACGCCGAGAGCATCGCGTTCCAGCTGGTGGAGTCCCGCTGCGGCATTCCATCGAAGATTTCCCGGGAGAGAAAGAGCCCAGCTTGCGTTAAAGAATGCCAGCTCAAGATGTGGGGATCGTTGTGGCATATTCTCTAGCATATTTCTAGCTTCAATGCACAATCATCACTCTCCACGAGCTGGAGTTGCCATGAAAAGCATATTCCGTGCTGCCACTCATTCCACGAGGACGGGAGGTCTTTTGATCGGCATGCTATGAGGTGCCTCTATTTTGTTGTCCACTGGATTTTATGGGATAGAGGATCTAATCAAGCAGCGGAATGGCTGGGTGATTGATTTGGTGGCAAGAGGCATCACTAGGAATATGATTAAGCATGGGACTGGATGTGCTTGCTCTCACTTGCTGCAATGAGATTGGCATTGATGTAGCATTGAACGCAAAGGCATTTGTATTGTCACATTATTTAGTCAAGAAAACTTTGGGAATGTGGGCAAGTAGCAAATTGAGTAAAACAAAATAATAACATTGGTCCTTTATTCTGTATTTTGTCCTTTCCGACTATATTTATATAAATCAAGTGTAATAACTAAATTTATGAGCTATATTTTATTTCTTCTTTGGCTCACCTTTAATCTGAAAACTTTTGTAGGCTAAAATTTCACTGTAGTTTCAATTTTAACATATAATTATTCTTTCAAGTAAAAGCTAAATGAGATTTTATTGATACTCTTGATATTGAAACAATGAAATTTAAACAACTTAATGATTCAAATGAAATATGAGGTTAGCAATTTGAAACAATTTATGAGCCTTTCAAAAATAAAATATCAACTATTATTCTTAATCATTATGTTGGTAATAATAATGGAAGTATGGTAAGAGGGGTGATTTTCACAGATCATGTCATAGTGCAACTATAAGTATAACTCCTGCTAATAAAGTAAAATTATCAGCAATTTATCATAATTTTGATGGAAATGAGAATTTCTCAAAATTCATTCTAAATGATATTATCTCAAATCAAAATGGCTATGTTAAATTAGAAAATTAATATAAAATAAGAGTAGTTTTTTATCTGATTAGTTCAAAAAATGTTGAAAATAAAAATATTAACATATTTATATTACTTTATTTTTATTAAAATAATTTAATAATGATAAAATTCAACATCTTTATAAAATACATTCATTCAACATTTTTCTGATTTAATTCCATTCAATGTTTAAATTCTATTTATCATTTATGATGAGATACATAAAATGTTTCTTTCATATTTAAGTTTTATACATAGTGTATTAACTTAATTTTGAATTACCTTTAACTATTAGGAGATAGATATTTTATATATTACATATATAAAAACTTTATTCCCTAAGAAAAGGAAAATGATTTTAAATTGTTTTTAGTATGGACATTTTTTAATTTCTTGATATATATACATTTGATTATATTTAATCATCAAAAAAGTGAGATGAAAAAAATTATGTTAAATGACAGAATTAAAATTTATAATGGTTTATACATCAATTCACTTGTTTAAATACAAGAAAAAATTTATATAATACTATTTAATTTAATTTATAATTAGAAGTGATAGATTAAGTTTTCTCAAAAAAAGAGTATTTCAATTTTTATATGCTTAAAACAACTTGTATTAAAAGAAATAAACTAGTGATATAAAACTGGGAATAAAAAATGTTTTGATTGCAAATATATTAAACACTTACACCATCAATAAAAATTTAATAATATTTTTAATTAAAATTTTGTAAACTATGTATGGTAGAAATAATTAAAAGCTTACCCCTTATCATCAAGTCAAATACTAGTAATAATTTGAATAAATAAACTTACCTACATATATTAATTAGTGTGAGGTCCATGCCACATACTATTATTAGAATAATGGGATTTTAATAGGTGTCTGATTAATTTCAATCTGAACCACTTGCTCTTAAAGGTTTTGGGCTAATTGAATATACAAATTTTTATATTCTATATACTCATATTGGTGGAAATAAAGGGCTATTACCAAAGAGTGATTGAATTTGTGTTTTTGGTTTAGATTTAACTTTTGCATTGTTTAGAGTTCTTTTGTTTTCATTTCTTATTTTTCTCTTTTCTTTTTATTTTCATTCAACTTCTTGGTAAAATATTATACCTTTTGCAATAGCCTCCTTTTCCTCTTCATCTAACTCTAGAGCAACAATTGGTGTAATGTAGTTATAATTTATCAATCAAATTTAGTTGCATATGGCTAAATTTCTTCCATAGGAATTCTAAGGATGACGTATATTATTGGTTCAATAATTTTATAGTGATTGCCACATGTCATTCTTAGGATAATACTTGGCATCTGAATGAGTTTCTTATATGTCTTTAAGAGACAGCATTGCAATGGTATAATGGTTTAAACATAACCACTCATGCAAATTAGAGTCTTTTCTTAGCTACCATTGTACCATTGCAATTTTGTCCTTTTGGAGATATAAGAAACTCATATATGCTAAATATCATCCCAAAAATGATAAGTGGCAATCATTATAAATGATTGAACCAATGATACACATCATCTTTAGAATTCCTATAGAATAAATTATTCCTAGGACTCCAATTTGAGTTTGCTTTCCAGCAATTGCATTATCCCAATCAAAGTTTGTTGAGTTAGTTATACAATTTAGTGTTTGATTCTAGAGTCTGTTGTTTCACAATAGATTAAGTTATGTAATGGTTAACACTTTATCAAAATCTTGTAAGACTTGTATATACACATGCCATAGCCATCCTAGGGGTTCACTTTGCACTAGTTCATCTAGTATTCACTTTCTAAATTTAGTTTTATAACAAGAGGTCCTTATTGTCCTCTCCGTATTATTGATATGGGTTTGAAACTATCTTTTATTGCTTAATTTATTGCCATACATTATTATCTATATTTGCATCATGTAGTAGAATCAATGTTCATTCTTTATAGCAACCATTACTGTAGCGCACCTTATTTCTCTCCTCTTAAGCCAACTGGAAAAGGGGCAATTACTTGATGAGAGAGCTCTTAGTGGCTATTTTATCCCCATTTGTAGCGCACCTTATCTCTCTCCCCTTAAGCCAACTGGAAAAGGGGCAATTGCTTGATGAGAGAGCCCTTAGTGGCTATTTTATCCCCATTTATCCCCCAAGGTTCCAAGGATCTATGGTGACAGTATATCCAAATCTCATCCCATGATCACATGTGCTACACTCACCCCACCTTCAGAGATGTTAATGTCTTCATTGACTATTGCCTAACAACCCCTACTGAGCCAAGGGGAACCAACACCTTCATTTCCACACTCAATCTACCAATCCTTCCATTGTGTAGACCAGCTCAATCTACCAATCCTTCCATTGTGTAGACCAGCTATTCCATGTGAGGCAACTAGTCATCCACCCGTACCGCAGTCCCACGGTGGATACCTTCGTCCGTGGATACTCTAAACAAGAGGAAGGACGTACGCATGGATACCCAATATGTACGATTTCAAATTTAGGGGTAGGAATATACCTTGCTCAAGGGTATATTATATTTTTAAGTAACCACTAATCAATAGGAATCAAACCCGTGCCATTTGCTCCGATACCAACTGTAGCGCACCTTATCTCTCTCCCCTTAAGCCAACTGGAAAAGGGGTAATTGCTTGATGAGAGAGCCCTTAGTGGATATTTTATCCCCATTTATCCCTCAAGGTTCCAAGGATCCACGGTGACAATATATCTAAATCTCATCCCATGATCACATGCGCTACAATTACACACATGTGTATATATAAGATAAGATGGAGTTTGTTGTGAGTGTGGGTGATTTTGAATTTGAGCTTCAATCATTACGAGTGTTGCCAATTAAAATTTTGACCTCATCCTTAATATAGATTGATTACAATTACAGATTGATTACAATTACATATAGATTGATCATGCCAAGTGTGACTTTGAAGCCCTTATTTCATACTTTTTTATATTTCTTCCATTCCTTTCATTTTTATATTTTTACCTTTGTTTCCATCATTTTTATCTCCCATTACTTCCTATTATGTTTTTTTTGCATTCTTTTATTTCCTTTCTAAATCCTTTATATAGTCTTTAGGTTGATTAGTTTAAGTAAGAGTATGTTAATTTCTTTGACTTTGATCTGTTATTTGAGGCCAAGATTGCAATCTATCATCTTATTCCAATTAAGAATGCTTATTCCATCAATGTTCTTATTTAATATTGGTCACCAAAGGAGATTAAGATCTTATGAACAAATCTTTAAAAGATATTGGAGAAATGTGTTATTTCAAAACCTTAAAGTCCTTAAGTGTGTGAACTTCATTTTGTGATAGAGGTTAATTAGAGTACTTGATTCTACATTGACTATCATCCATTAAATAATGTGACAATCTCGGATATGTACCTACTTCCTTATATATTGCCAATCTTTTAGATTGTTTAGTTATATATCATATTATGAGCGCATTCACCAAGTTAAATTTTACTTTTGCTTATTGGCTAAAGAGGATATTCCCAAAATTGTTTTCCATACACCATTTGGTTTGTATGAGTTTTTAATGATGCTATTCAGGTTGAACATTACTCCATTGATTTTTTAGCAAATGATGGATGAAGTTCTTTATGATATGTCAAGATTACCAACTTCATTGATAATATCTTTATCCACTCAAAGGGGATATTGAGAAGAGCACATCTATGATGTTCATAAAGTGTTGAATTGGTTGTAAAAAGTTAATTTGAAATTGAAGTGGTAAAAATGTATATTTAGGACCAAGGATATAATTTGTTTTAAATACTACATTTCTTAGGAAGTTTTGCAAATTGATCTTAATAAACTTGTGGTTGTTTTTAAGTTTCTTACTTTGAAATATGTGAACAATATGCAACACTTTCTCAGAAAAGTGAAATATCTTAATTGTTTTACTGATTATTTTTCTAATTGTATTTCACTATTACAAATGTTGTTAAAGTTATTAACATTGTCTTTTATCTTGTTTGAGGATTGTTAAGGATTTGTAAATCTTAAAGAGATGTTGATAGTTGTACTATTTAGTGGCTTTGAAACTTTAAATATATAACTTCAAGGTTGTTTGTTATTCAGGGAGTTCTATAATTCATGTTGAAGCCTTTTTTCAAGCTCCTCTCCCTTTTTCATTCTCTTTCATATTC